GGGGGGGGGGGGTCTGCCCTCCCTTAGTGCTATACTTGTTTTCTTTCTTCTTTTTTTTTAATTTTAGGGAGAAATCAAGGGGCGGTGCAATAGTGACTGTGAGGTGACCCCAGAGAGCAGATCCTACTGCAAGCACTGCAGACTGAGAAAATGCTTCAAAGCGGGAATGAAGAAAGATTTGATAATGAGTGAGATAATGAGCACATTTGCTATATTGAGCTCCTCTTTTCCTGCAAATAAATAATTTTTTAAAAAATAGTAATAGTTTTTGAAAAGGTAATGATCACTTTAAATTTTGTTACACCACTGTTTTTTTCATTCTAGACTCTCTTAGTTTAGTCTAGTCCAGCTCGTCTAGTTTAGTTAATCCTACCATATAAACCACACTCAGATTCTAACATTGTACCAGTGGGATAGTTCCAACCTCCGGGGGATTTTTGCTTAATTGCATTCAGTGTAATCAGCTTAATTGTCTAATGTCTAGGGGGTAATTAATTTTCATGTGCATTGGGCTTAATTATTCCCTAGCAGCTCGAGAACGCACCTCAGACATTTAAGGCGATTACAGTCATTGCGGAGTTGGATCGATTCAGCCAGTATGATGGGTTTATCTGAATTCTCCCTTACATTAAGATAGAAATATGCCAGTGAACAAAACACCATCATCATTCAATGAGAACACAATGTAATACTTAAAAAATAACTTTGATTTATAGCCGACCACCAGAAACAGATCCGCCGATACAAGAACCGCTCTGTAGGAGAGGAAGACCCAAAAGAGGTATCAGACACCATGGAATTGACCAAGTCTCCCTCAAACCCAAAGGTGCAAACTCGTTTTGTTGGAGATACACTGACAGAAGAGGACCATGCCACTCTACAGCAACTTGATCATGCTTGCAAAATCTCTTTTGACCTTCATATGGAAAATGGAATTCGGCAGCCGACCTCACAAAAAGAATTTATAAACATGGCAGATATTTCTGTGAGGCGGCTGATCAGAATGGTAAAACAGTTGAAGGCATTCATACAAATCACTCAGGAAGACCAGTTAGCCTTGCTGAAAGAAGCTGTGGTCGAAATGCTTGTATTCCGATCTTGCCTGACTTATGATTTAGCCACTGACTCATGGAATGTTCCCAATTCTTCAGGAGAGAAAGTCAAAGTCAAGCGACCCAAAATGCATGGGGACATGAAGGAAAACTACATAAGATATATGCATTTTGTCCGTTCATTCATGAAGCTGACGGGTAATGACCGCAATGTGAACTTAATCATGATGGTATTATCGTTGTTTTCACCTGACAGACCAAATATTCAAGACAAGTCCCTGATCTCCAAAGAGCAGGAATATTTTGCCATGTTACTCTCACGTTATCTCAACACAGTGTTTCCGGGGCAGCTCCTGTTTCCAAAGGTAATGATGAAGTTGACAGAGGTGCGTGACATCAGTGTCGCTCAGTCGAAGGTGATATTGCAAATGGAGGCTAGCGACTTGGAACCCTTGCTTGTAGAGATTTTTAATTTGTAGTGCAAACATTAGAACTAAGAACTTACATTTAAGTAATTGCCTCTTTTTATTGAGAAAATGAATGGGATTTGTGATTATTGGAAAATGAGCTTAATTTAAGTAGATAAGTTTAACTTGCATTGTTTAAAACTGCATAAGTTTTTAAGGCATACAATGCATGGTGGACCTTTACATAGCTGCCCCCCCCCAAAAAAAAAAAATAAATAAATAAATAAATGAATAATAATAATACTAATAATAATAAATGAATAAATAAAAATCCTGGAAATTTGAGCAGTTTCCTTTATCACCAAGGTATCATCATCATCATCATCATCATCATCACTGCACCCCCCCCCCCCAACAATCCTGGACCTGGTCAACAATCTCTGTTCAGGTCGTGGTTCATGGGTGTTCAAACACACTCAGATTGAAGTGAAAGTTTCCATTATCAGAATGCGCCTAAAAAGTTCATCACACCCTAGCTGCTCCACCTGAATTAAATTATTGTTATGTAAAGGTCTAAGACTTTTATGAGAATGCATACAATGTATGCAGTAACATATATAGGGCCCAGGTATAATTTTTATTCTATGGTTGTTCTGTCAGGTTTAAGCAGAATATTTTATCCAAGAGAGAGAGAATAATGCAAAGTGCAGTAATAAATTAAATATACAGTAGTATATTTGGGCTGCTGGTATGTTTGGTTGATATATATTTTGTCTCACAGACCCAAGAAAAGTGATATCTTTATTCATTTTTACCATTCAGTATTATTATATAATACTGCCAGTGAATAAATGAAGTGAACTGGAAATTGATATCAGAGTCAGCGGTCAGTACAACATTTGGGATGCCATCTGTTCAATCAATATTCAGTTTTATCAGACCTCAAATAATGAAATATAAAGTCATAATCTGTGCCTATTGCATATTACTGCAATACAATAATATTTAATATTGTGAGAAACCAAATTATTGTTTAATATATATTTGGCATAGTATTGATATTTTATGATATAAGGGTAATTTCAATTCTAGCATGTCTTGTGGTAGTGGGTCTCAAAAATATTTATGTCAGGTATGAGTTTACCATTAGAACGTAGTAAAGTATTGTAAAGACTTGAAATTCTTTAATCACATGGGGTATTTCCGAGGTACATGGTATCATTTTGGTATTTATTATTTTAATGTAAATTTTGTGTTTTTGCTTGAGTTTTTTTTTTTTTAATTCATCAGTGTAAAGGCTTCACTAGAAAAATAACTCTGGTGTTAGCTGTAAGTGACAGGTCATGGGATTTGAGATAAGAAAAAAATCTCTGAAATAATAATTCCGTTTTCAGCAATATATCAAAACATATACTTGCTATAACCTTCTTGGTCTGCAATGTCAATAACTGCAAAATGAAAACCCTATCCTTTTTGCCACTTTTTAAATCATTTATTTTCTATATTCTCTGCATTACCTCCTCAAATTATGAGGCGAAATATTCCGTACTGCCGAAACCATTCCAGTGTCTGACATGTGAATACGGGCTAAGATAATCAATATAGTATGAGTTTCAAGAAAAACAGGAAAATTGATATCATGAAAATCCCATTGAGTGTCATGGTGGTAATGACACCGTAAAGAAGAGTGTATAATGGCTCATTCCCATTGAAACTATCAGAAGAGAGATCCAATTCCCTAGGGACTCTTGCTAAATGCAATCAGCATAGTAGACAAACATGCCTCCTGGTGTTGAGTAGATTACAGAAAAACTGGTGATAATACGAGAACATTGGAAACAAGAGGAGGTACATTAATCTGATTGCATTCAGGAATAGTTCCCATGGGGATGAGTCCTAAAACTTGGTGTTGCTCATTTTAATTTAGTTTAGTGAAAAGATTTTTTTTTTTTTTCATTCGGAAGTGTGTATTATGTTGTACAGCAGCTGGATGTAGACATCTAGGGCTCTCCTAGTATGTGCCATCTATTTACCCCCACCCCCCCCCCCCCCCACCCCCAACTGGAAGCTCATAATGAACAATGTGCTTACAGATTTGTGGAAGGCATATCACGTTTACTTTTCTTGCGAAATACTTCTCAAGACAGACTTGGATTACAAGAAGGGTACTATATTTTAGTCTCCAATATCACTTTCATCGAATTCATTCATTCATTCAAAATACTATGATGAACTTAAATTAAGTTTAAGATGTATATGGCATATTTAAGTCACTAAGTAAACATTCTAAAAAAATGCCTGTCATGCTTTTCAGTTTTATATATTATGGTGGCTAGTGAAAATGTTGTAGTGCTTTTTATCTTTTATTAGACTTATTTATTTTGAATCACAAATTTAGCTTATCGTTTCTGAATGATAGTATAAAATTCTTGTTTGACTGGATTTTTAAATGTTACTGTAGGTGTACTTGAAAAAACCCCAGGTGTTGTTGTGGCATATAAATCAAAATTGAAAAACGAAGCTGCAATATCCATTATTTATTATGGTACATAGACTGTACAAAAGCAATATATTTGCAAACTGATACATGGAAATGCAACAGAAAAGGGCATAGAATGCCTGTTACATGATGTTATCTATCTATCTATTTATATATATGCTACAAGAAATGGCAAATTATGCCTGTTACAGATTATGCTACAGAAAAAAAAGCCAAGAAAACATGACTTTTTTTCATATCCCTGAGATCATTACTTTCGCAGTGAATTCAAACCCTCTCTATAAAACCCAAATTATGTCAATTAAATACTAAGACAAGCTTTACAGTCATCTTATTGTGACAGTAACCTTGGATGTTGAGCTCTTTTATGAAAGATGAAGCAATCAGACACTTTCAGTTGATATGTAATATTAATCAGCAGTTCCACTATCCAGTGGCATTAAAATGCATCTTTCAGTTACAAATCTTCTAGTAACACTGTTACAAAATGCTAACATTTAAAGGCAACAGTGTGATATGTGGTCTTCTTGGCTGAGCCTGATCACTTTAATGAGATAATTGACACTGTCCTCTCAAATTTTTTCTGTTTTTATTGAAAGAAACCTAGCTTGGAGAAGCAGTAGACACTAGTGCAATGTTTAGTCAACTCGAGTAAGTCTGAGATTTCTTTCACCAGCGTGGAGCCTTGCAATGTAGTCTGTGGGAAGAGGCCAGTCATATATTTGAACCTGAAATATGAAAATAGATTGATCATTAGAAAAAGCCAACATACATTTCCATGAGTTTGGTATATGATGATGTAGTCTTGGGTATTTTTTTTTTCTTTTAAGGAAAATTACTGGGGTTCACACCATTTACTAAACAAAACAATTTTTCAGTGAGTCCTTGGTGAATCTACAAAATGTTTTTCACTCATTTCTGCTCAAATAGATTATCATCTCTTTGGCATATGGTGAATGTTCTTTAATTAAGTAGTATAAGCTTAACTGCCATGGTAACAAAAATATATTATATTTTTTTCAGGTTGTGACGTTGCAATGTTATTTAAGTTGTGTTCAAACGAGGAGTATTTTGAACTGAAAGTAGTCCTCAGGGTAGGACAGTTTTCAGTTTGAATTGGCCCTGTCTGAACTAAATGGTTCCACAGTTTATTTCCCTTTCTTATTCAGAAAAAAAAAAAACAAGTAAAAAAAAGCAAGAAAAATTGATAAGGAGGTAAAAGATTTCATGGAGATAATTAATGTTACAGAGGGAGAGGAAAAATGTTTTGCAATGAAATATTTAAGAAATGTTGATTTTTGTGTGAAACAATTTATAGTCTTATCAATAATTATAACCTGCACATTCCAATGTTCAATATTTGTATCCAAGATATTTGTTGTATATTAACTGATATACAGTATGTGTGTAAAGAAGTTTTAAGTCTTTCATAATAACTTATCATAATAACTGGACTGGTGGATCTAGGATTTTAATAAAGAAGGCAGGGAGCATAAGCATTAAAAAGAATTTGCTTGCTATTCTTGGCAATTGTAAAACACTTGGTGTGGACAGTTTTACTGTAACATGCAGACAGGGATGGGAATTTTTTTTTTTTTTTTTTTTTTTTTTTTGGGGGGGGGGGTACTAGTTTTAATTTTTCAGGAGAGGAGAGAGGTAGTTCTAAAGGTGAAGGGTTGGGAAATGAGGTCCATAGCACTCTGTGTATTTTATTTTGCCAAAATTAAGACTAACTTCATTAGATCCATGTTAGAAAACAATGTTTGTATATTGTACCAATGCCTTTTTTCATTAATGTGTTTAGAACTGCAAATGTAGTTTAAAAACGAGGTTGCAAAATGTTGATTATTTATAGACAAAATTCAAGCATAATCGTAAAATTATGGAATGAGCAAATGTTATGGATATGTAAATATCTTATAAAATATCGTTAAAATATTTTTAATATTATAATAATTGACTTTTTAATATTTGGTTTTTATGTTGTTATCTATACTTTGAGGTGACTGAATATATGGTAGACCTTAGAATGGTTTCATAATATACTTGATCGCTCTTTAGCAAAGGAATGTGATTCAGGAAGTGCTCTGTTGTTGCCATATCACCATTCAATATATATTTTATGAAATATGTGATGGAACATGTGAAGTCAAAATAAAGTGTTACGTTCACCTTTTGTTTGCACTTAAATTCTTCAGGAGCACTAATGGGAACTTCATGTTAATTGCAGTTTTATTTGCTGTGGTTGATCGATTGCAGAAAAATTTCAAGATTTCAGTATTGCAATCTCATAATTTCCCTAGTATGAAAAGTATAGGCGGGTGATGTAGGCATTAATACAAATAAAATAAAAAAGGGGTTGGACAATGAATTGAAGACGGGCGGATCCAGGATTATTTGAAGGGGTGGGGTCCGCGGATGCGAAACCGTCCCTTCCACCACCCCCTCCCGTGCCACTTACCTTGGGGTTCGGGGCCCCGAAAAATTTTGGTATTTCAGAGGCGAATGGTACCATTTGGTACGGTATAGAACTTTAATTCAGCTAGTCAAAATTCTAATTTCAAGAGGGACCAGAAATTGAAGGGGGGGGGGCAGGATCCCCCGACCCCCCCCCCCCCCCATCCCCTCTAAATCCGCCACTGGAAGATAATGCCTCCTGATAAAGATGACACATGACAGTGGTAAGAGCATTTGCATCAATTAGGTATTACCACCCATGTGAACGTGACGACCATAAATGCGCACAAAATGTATTTTAACCAGGTGTTGCAAGTACGATTTGACAGAGTCACTTGCTCTAGAGAAGTAACCCTCAGGCACAATCATTGTGGCGGTCTAAGGCGCAACTAACACATTCAGACACAGCTAGACCAGTTGATTTATAAATCCACAAGCCGTTGTGTTAGTTGTTAAGTGAGATCGCGTTATCATTTGGCCAGTATTTGCTCTTGTCTACGACAATTTACACGTTTATCGGTTTATCAGATGTGTAATGCAATTATCAGGTATTATAATTTACGTTCCTATGAGAATAATTTCTGGTCGTAGATCAGTAAAATAAGAGCTCAATCGGTGCACGTATATGCACAACACAGTAGCCTACAGTTAAAACACAGCAGAACACAGTTTACCCACCTCGTCAAGAGATCCCATCAAATTATGGTTGTTGACATGATAGTCCTTTGCCTCACAGCTTGTGCCTCTACCAAGGTACAGAGGGGACAATGTGGCCGGGATATGTCCTGTGAGAAAAGTACAATTTTTTACCATAAAAATGCCATAGAACCACAATGAGTGCGTGACCATGTAGCTTCAGTGCGTTTATTTTTCGCACTATTTTAATTTGCTAAATAAGACCTATAATATGGTTAATTTAATTTTAGATTATTTAAAGATAGGACGTACTGCGAAAGAGTAACGCGTTCAGGTTTCTCATTTTCCATTAAATTATCGCTTTGCGCTTGCGCAGAGCAAACTCCATACGCACTTCTTCCATCTTACACACGGACCATACAAACGTTCCACTTACCGACAGCGATTTCATCCTTGGCGGCGTAGCCGTTGACAAACAATTTCAGTCTGAGGCCGTCGTAAGATAAGACAACGTGATTCCAGCCCTTTCCGCCCTAATATAGAACAAATATACACATACTTATCCAAAGGGAAAGTTCACCCTTAGCTCAATTATTATGGGCCTACCCGAAATGATCACTAGTACACCACAATGAATTTAAACAGGCTCTTACAATGTATTTAGGGTGTATTTAACCGCAAAAAAACACAAATAAGAAATTAATAATAATAATAATAATAATAATAATAATAATAATAATAATAATAAAACGTACGTGTGATCCCCCAAGATCTATCGTAAGAAGGGTTTGGTTGTTGTCAATAAGCACGCGACCGCCCAGGTATCCGCGCTCCGTCCACAAGGCAATGGTGGGCTCAGTCAGACAATTCCCGTTACTGATCAACCCATCTCGCACGTTGTAGGAGTTCTCGGCGGTCTCATACCAGAAAGAAATGGTGAGGGAAGAGCCCCATGGGTAGTTGTTAAAACGAGGGATTTCACAATGGACGGTGCCGTTGAACTGAGCAGCGTAGCCGATTCTTCCTTGGCCGAGTTTAACGCCGGTGCAGTCCGTCCAGAAGTTGTCCACTGTAGTGTCCGTGGACTCGTCGAATGGCCACAGAGCGATTGGACGGAGGTCTGTAAAAACGTCCATTTTACTCCATTTTATATGCATTCCAAACACATTTACATATTGATTTGCCTTATATATTTGAGACTGGGATTCAATATGAGCAATAATCTGAACACACACGTTCACCGTCTTGTCTGTACAGAAAAGACAATTTCAAACCGATAATCGGATTATCTAGCGTCGCCAGAGGAACCGAATTCAAAGAGAAAATAGGAACTCGTTCAAATCTTGTCTTCTAGATCAAGTATTTAGGATTGATTTTTATTTTTTTATCATTATTTTTTTTCTTGTACTAAGCAGCCCTTATTTGAACGCCGTTGATAACATACCTGGCGCCATGCACATGCACCTCTGTACGTTGAACTCCCACTGTCCGCAGCTGACACGCTCGATCCTGGTCTCATCTCCCAGGACCTGAGTTCGGTAGAAAATGCTTGGATCGCCCCAGACGGCCAAGTACGTCCAGCCATGGGGGCCTTCACATTTGCCGTCAAACTGGGGGAGAGTGGTGTAGCTCTCGGTTGTAGTGGGAGGGGGAGCTGGAAGAAAACATCCGTAGTCGTGTTCACCGTGTTTGTCATATCATATCACCTTCGTTCTTATTCTCAGTTATTAGCAGGTGGTCACGCGTCACAGGTAACTGGGGCATATCGGTGGGTGAAAATACTTCATAAAGACTAATGGAGACAACGGTGGTTGAAAATACTACATAAAAACTAATGGAGTTAACGGTGTGGTGGCATGATATAATTTTTATTTTTTTCTGAACTTTTTTTACCGATATTCGATAACTGATCTTTTCCGCGCTGAATAAAAGTTTGTAAACTCATTTGTGTTTGTTAGTATATGTGTATATGTGTATGTGTGTGTGACTCGTTTATAAAATGGGTAATTAAGTGAATTTGAAGGGGTGAAAAACAGTAACCACTTCATATGCTAAAAAGATTGCTTAATTGATCCGGGCCGCTGGCATACAAATTTAAATTTGCATACAGATAAGAAATTGTCTCCCAGGTATTTAAATATTGGCGTTATATTTAATCAGTATTATTCAGGATCATCTGATAAAACCTGATTTTCTGTATGTATTGCATTCGTTATAACTACAGTTATTACTACTATCATCAATCAGATAGAAGATCTTTTGAATATATGAATCTTTGGCATCTTAAAACGTTCAGTTTTATTATCTGCACCTCCCTAATTAAGACATGCCGGATGCGATTTTGATATTATCAATTATTGTTCATGAGTTATGATTATAAGGGATTTTGCATCTTCGTAAGGGCAATTCTCCAGATCGCATTGCTTTACAACAATCTAACGTTCCAAACCAGATAATATAATTAAGAGCCGTCGCGCATATTCGTATCAAAATTACATGTAAGCAAATCTTCCCTGCAAAATTTAAAAGGCTATAGATATTCCATCGCTTGTAAGTAATATTTTGGTGATGATTATGCTATTAATTTAAGACGTTCATCATTCCTCTTCGTCCCGTGTGGGACATAAGGCCACAATTTAAGACGTTACTTCATAATTTTACTTACTCATAGGCGGGCACTTGGGCCCCAGCAACTTGCTCCTATGGCACTGTGCTATCTCACACGGGACACACGAAACGACGTCGCTATCGAATAGCGTGCCATCAGCGCACGTTTTCTCGTGGACTTGCACTTGGCCGTATTCGTCCATGTCGCACTGAAGGTAGCTCTTGCAGTTGTCCGGGTTCTCGTAGTAACCCACCCCGTTCCTCTGTTCGATGCTGCTCCTGCAATAGGCTGGAAGAAGGAAACAGTGCTCAGTCTGTATGACAGAAACCATAGAAATTTCTTGAAATTCAAAGTCTGGATAATTTTTTTCAGCTGATGCAGACCCTCTTCTCAAATTTTTGACGGCGCAAAACATTGGATTTTTGGATTTGTAAATATGTGAAAAATGTAATTATCTTTGTTTTTTATGTCGTCGCCCATACCTAAATATCCCTACAACTACTGCACTTACCAATTTTATTTATCATGACCAATATTTCTAATTATCTGTCATATTCAGTAAATACTTACCGAGATATTTGTCATACGCGCCATATTCAGCCTTGGCACTGGCCACAAGCGCAAAGAACAAGACGCCTAGCATGTTGACTCTGTAAAATACGAAAAAAAAATAATAGAAGTTATAAAATAATCATTCGGTGTTTTCAAATATCATTACAAGTATGAAATACTAGTATTCTATCCCATTTTCCTATGAGTTATTTGATGTTGTGATTTTTAAAAATCTAATATTCATAAATGTTATATCACCTTTTAGTAAATTACCATTCAAATGATTCTTGGATCCATTTCCAACTAAAAAACTTAATTGTTTTTAAACAAATTCACTTAAAAAAATTCTTAAAGTTCGCTCATCACTTGTGAGACAGAATAAAATACACCGAAAACCGGAACGGACAGGATGCAATGAATAGCTAAGGCAATGGCGCTTTGGTTAGCATGTGTTCAAAAAAAAAAAGAAAAAAAATCACGACTTTATTGAACTACCAACGAAGGATTTGTTAACTATCAGTTCACGAATGCAGACGAATTAAACGGCGTTTAATCACCAGGCATCCAATATCTATAATATGTCACCCTTTGTCATGGTAATTACTCTTTCGTCATCCATATATTATAAAGTTCATCCATATTCAAAGGATATGTACTTCGTCCCAGTAAGCGATAAAACATCAGAAATCTATGCATTAATATTCATTTCAAATTATAGTCATTATTGGTGGTCTGAGTTTTAGAGGATCATATAATTAGTTCCAGAACAGCCCCCTCCTCCCCCACATTACATTTTTGCTGTTAATTTTAGTTTTCCTAGGGATGGATCCTAGAATTGTAAACTGACTGCCAAAAAAATAATATAAACTTCTTTTTGTAAGACTACTCTGTGGTCAAGGGGGTTCAGAAAAAGGGGTAGGGATATTGGGGAGACAGAAAGCAGGACAAAAACTTTAAAATTAAAAACGAAAAAGAAAAAAAAAAGAAAAAGAAAATAGATCGATCTCGTTTTCGATACCACCGTATTTGTTAAAGCATGACGGAAGCAGTGTCCGGGGAGTGAGAGGGGGGTTGTTTCCATGTAAACTTAATGCGCGCTTTTTCGTGGTAGATCTAGAGATTGGATCAAAAACACACGAGGGTACATGTCGCATACATGTAGCTTAAAGTTCACGGCAAGGAGAGAATGGCACCATTAGAATACAACATTTCAATACACCACAGATCATTCTCCATAAATCATTAGATGGTGGGTCTAAATCATTTACAGAATACTATAAATAGGGAATAAAAAGATAAAGAAATTATGTTACTGACATTTAGAAAATCCATAGCGTTTCTATATTCAGTAATCTATTTCATATTGCAATTTTTATTTTAAATGTATAAAGAAATAATTATATGTTTGTTAAACTTTAACAATTTCTTGTTTTTAACTTTCCGTCAAGAATCGCACTCTCGTAATAGAAACCTTCAAGTTGGCCGAACCTATAAGATGCCAATTTTACTATCATACGAAACTAGAGGTGATACCTGTGAATAATTTAGAATAAATATCAAGAAAAACCTTGTTCAGTTGTCAACTGTATCTAATTTGTATGTAACTTTGCCAGTCTCATGTTACCAAGGCTAAACCAATGAAATTTGCGTGCGTTTAGTTAATTCTAAATAAAATACTTTCTATTGCAACGGTGACTTTGGCCGCATTCACACATTCAGAACAGCTAGTCCACTAACTAGTCCACGGGTTAAATAAAAACTTCCCCAGGGGGAATCTATTCAATGTCTATTAGCGAATTAGACGGCAAGCTTTTTCGTCGGTTGCCGCATTTGGCCCGTGGACTAGTTGGTCCGCTGTTCTGAAAGCAGTTTTTTTAAGTATAAATCACAGGTATGACTTACAGTAAAGACTTTTCAGATACCTGACTATATTATAAATGAAATTCAGCTGTTACTCACCCTATTAGGTCAGCGTACAATGTGTCGGCTCTGCTGAAAGTGGAGAATGTACCTCCAACGGTGAGCGGTCAGTATTTATACGACGCTCCGGTCAAGATGACCAACCGCAAGAAACAATCCACTGCAATATCTCAAAGATTCATCGGCGACTGCAAGTGGCTATTTCTCCTGCGTCACGCTGTACTGGGTAATGAGATGGAATAGATAACCGAGGCCATTAACATTTTGATGACGATCTTAATTAATCCGACGGTGATAAACGAGAGATTTTCCCTCAACCCGCAACCAGGAGAGAAATCGCAAAACACAGAGGATACCCTNTTTTTTTTTTTTTTTTTTTTTTTTTTTTGGGGGGGGGGGGGACTAGTTTTAATTTTTCAGGAGAGGAGAGAGGTAGTTCTAAAGGTGAAGGGTTGGGAAATGAGGTCCATAGCACTCTGTGTATTTTATTTTGCCCAGACTAACTTCATTAGATTCATGTTAGAAAACAATGTTTGTATATTGTACCAATGCCTTTTTTCATTAATGTGTTTAGAACTGCAAATGTAGTTTAAAAACAAGGTTGCAAAATGTTGATTATATATTGACAAAATTCAAGCATAATCGTAAAATTATGGAATGAGCAAATGTTATGGATATGTAAATATCTTATAAAATATTGTTAAAGTATTTTTAATATTATAATAATTGACTTTTTAATATATGGTTTTCATGTTGTTATCTATACTCTGAGGTGACTGAATATATGGTAGACCTTAGAATGGTTTCATAATATACTTGACCGCTCTTTAGCAAAGGAATGTGATTCAGGAAGTGCTCTGTTGTTGCCATATCACCATTCAATATATATTTTATGAAATATGTGATGGAACATGTGAAGTCAAAATAAAGTGTTACGTTCACCTTTTGTTTGCACTCCAATTCCTTCTGCTTGAGCACTAATATGGGAACTTCATATTAAAATTGCAGTTTTATTTGATGCGGTTGATGAGATCGATTGCAGGAAAATTTTTAAGATTTCAGTATTGCAATCTCATAATTTTCCTTGTATTAGAAGTATAGGCGGGTGATAAAGGCATTAATACAAATACTAAAAGGGGTTGGGCAATGAATTGAAGACGGGCGGAGCCAGGATTATTTGAAGGGGTGGGGTCCGCGGATATGCAAATCCGTCCCCCCCCCCCCCCCTTCCCACTTACCGTGGGGTTTGGGGCCCCAAAAAATTTTGGTATTTCAGAGGCGAACGGTAACATTTGGTACGGTTTAGAACTATCATTCAGCTAGTCAAAATTCTAATTTCAAGAGGGACCAGAAATCGAAGGGGGGGGGGGCAGGATCCCCCTGACCCCCACCCCTCTAAATCCGCCACTGGAAGATAATGCCTCCTGATAAAGATGACACATGACAGTGGTTTAAGAGTTTTAAAAGGAGAGCATTTGCATTAATTAGGTATTACCACCCATGTAAACGTGACCACCATTAAATGCGCTCAGAATGTATTTTAACCAGGTGTAGCAAGTACGATTTGACAAAGAGTCACTTGCTCTAGAGACGTAACCTAGCTTCAGGCGCAATCATTGTGACGGTCTAAGGCGCAACTAACACATTCAGACACAGCTAGACCAGTTAAAAATTGATTTATAAATCCACAAGTCGTTGTGTTAGTTGTTAAGTGAGATCGCGTTATCATTTGGCCAGTATTTGCTCCTGTCTACGACAATTTACACGTTTATCGGTTTATCAGATGTGTAATGCAATTATCAGGTATTATAATTTACGTTCCTATGAGAATAATTTCTGGTCGTAGATCAGTAAAATAAGAGCTCAATCGGTGCACGTATATGCACAACACAGTAGCCTACAGTTAAAACACAGCAGAACACAGTTTACCCACCTCGTCAAGAGATCCCATCAAATTATGGTTGTTGACATGATAGTCCTTTGCCTCACAGCTTGTGCCTCTGCCAAGGTACAGAGGGGACAATGTGGCCGGGATATGTCCTGTGAGAAAAATACAATTTTTTTTACCATAAAAATGCCATAAGAACCACAATGAGTGCGTGAACATGTAGCTTCAGTGCGTTTATTTTTCGCACTATTTTAATTTGCTAAATAAGACCTATAATAAATGTATAGGATGTCGTTTATGGTTAATTTAATTTTAGATTATTTAAAGATAGGACGTACTGCGAAAGAGTAACGCGTTCAGGTTTCTCATGTTCCATTAAATTATTGCTTTGCGCTTGCGCAGAGCAAACTACATACGCACTTCTTCCATCTCACACACGGACCATACAAACGTTCCACTTACCGACAGCGATTTCATCCTTGGCGGCGTAGCCGTTGACAAACAATTTCAGTCTGAGGCCGTCGTAAGATAAGACAACGTGATTCCAGCCCTTTCCGCCCTAATATAGAACAAATATACACATACTTATCCAAAGGGAAAGTTCACCCTTAGCTCAATTATTATGGGCCTACCCGAAATGATCACTAGTACACTACAATGAATTTAAACAGGCTCTTACAATGTATTTAGGGTGTATTTAACCGCAAAAAAACACAAATAAGAAATTAATAATAATAATAAAAATAATAATAATAATTATAATAATAAAACATACGTGTGATCCCCCAAGATCTATCGTAAGAAGGGTTTGGTTGTTGTCAATAAGCACGCGACCGCCCAGATATCCGCGCTCCGTCCACAAGGCAATGGTGGGCTCAGTCAGACAATTCCCGTTACTGATCAACCCATCTCGCACGTTGTAGGAGTTCTCGGCGGTCTCATACCAGAAAGAAATGGTGAAGGAAGAGCCCCATGGGTAGTTGTTAAAACGAGGGATTTCACAATGGACGGTGCCGTTGAACTGAGCAGCGTAGCCGATTCTTCCTTGGCCGAGTTTAACGCCGGTGCAGTCCGTCCAGAAGTTGTCCACTGTAGTGTCCGTGGACTCGTCGAATGGCCACAGAGCGATTGGACGGAGGTCTGTAAAAACGTCCATTTTACTCATTTTTATATGCATTCCAAACACATTTACATATTGATTTGCCTTATATATTTGAGACTGGGATTCAATATGAGCAATAATCTGAACACACACGTTCACCGTCTTGTCTGTACAGAAAAGACAATTTCAAACCGATAATCGGATTATCTAGCGTCGCCAGAGGAACCGAATTCAAAGAGAAAATAGGAACTCGTTCAAATCTTGTCTTCTAGATCAAGTATTTAGGATTGATTTTTATTTTTTTTATCATTATTTTTTTTCTTGTACTAAACAGCCCTTATTTGAACGCCGTTGAAAACATACCTGGCGCCATGCACATGCACCTCTGTACGTTGAACTCCCACTGTCCGCAGCTGACACGCTCGATCCTGGTCTCATCTCCCAGGACCTGAGTTCGGTAGAAAATGCTTGGATCGCCCCAGACGGCCAAGTACGTCCAGCCATGGGGGCCTTCACATTTGCCGTCAAACTGGGGGAGAGTGGTGTAGCTCTCGGTTGTAGTGGGAGGGGGAGCTGGAAGAAAACATCCGTAGTCGTGTTCACCGTGTTTGTCATATAATATCACCTTCGTTCTTATTCTCAGTTATTAGCAGGTGGTCACGCGTCACTGGTAACTGGGGCATATCGGTGGGTGAAAATACTTCATAAAGACTAATGGAGACAACGGTGGTTGAAAATACTTCATAAAAAACTAATGGAGTTAACGGTGTGGTGGCATGATATAATTTTTATTTTTTCCTGTACTTTTTTTACGGATATTCGATAACTGATCTTTTCCGCGCTGAATAAAAGTTTGTAAACTCATTTGTGTTTGTTAGTATCTGTGTATATGTGTATGTGTGTGTATATGTGTGTATGTGTGTATATGTGTATATGTGTATGTGTGCGTGACTCGTTTACAAAATGGGTAATTAAGTGAATTGGAAGGGGTGAAAAACGGCTACCAGTTCATATGGTAAAAAGATTCCTTAATTGATCCGGGTCGCTGACATACAAATTTAAATTTGCATACAGATAAGAAATTGTCCCTCGGGTATTTAAATATTGGCGTTATATTTAATCTGTATTATTCAGGATAATCTGATAAAACCTGATTTTCTGTATGCATTGCATTCGTTATAACTACAGTTATCACTGCTATCATATATCAGATAGAAGATCTTTTGAATATATAAATCTTTGGCATCTTAAAACGTCCAGTTATGTTATCTGCACCTCCCTAATTAATACATGCCGGATGCGATTTTGACATTATCAATTATTGTTCATGAGCTATAATTATAAGGGATTTTGTATCTTCGTAAGGGCAATTCTCCAGATCGCATTGCTTTACGACAATCTAACGTCCCAAACCAGATAATAATATAATTAAGAGCCGTCGCGCATATTCATATCAAAATTACATGTAAGCAAATCTTCCCTGCAAATTTAAAAAGGCTATGGATCTTCCATCGCTTGTAAGTGATATTTTGGTGATGATTGTGCTATTAATTTTAGACGTAACTTCATAATTTTACTTACTCATAGGCGGGCACTTGGGCCCCAGCAACTTGCTCCTATGGCACTGTGCAATCTCACACGGGACACACGAGACGACGTCGCTATCGAATAGCGTGCCATCAGCGCACGTTTTCTCGTGGACTTGCACTTGGCCGTATTCGTCCATGTCGCACTGAAGGTAGCTCTTGCAGTCGTCCGGGTTCTCGTAGTAGCCCACCCCGTTCCTCTGCTCGATGCTGCTCCTGCAATAGGCTGGAAGAAGGAAACAATGCTCAGTTTGTATGACAGAAACCATAGACATTTCTTGAAATTCAAAGTCTGAATAATTTTTTTTTCAACTGACGCAGACCCTCTTCTTTAATTTCTGACGGCGCAAAAACATTGGATTTTTGGATAAGTAAATGTATGGAAATGTAATTACCTATTTTTTTATGTCTTCGCCCATACCTAGATATCCCTACGACTACCGCATATTACAATTTTATTTATCATTACCAATATTTCTAATCATCCATCAGATGAATGTTTTAAAGGAAATGCTATGTGCATTGAATACTTACCTAGATATTTGTCATACGCGCCATATTCAGCCTTGGCACTGGCCACTAGCGCAAAGAACAGGACGCCTAGCATGTTGACTCTGTAAAATACAAAAAAAAAAAAGATAAATGAATAAATAAAAATAATAATAATAATAGAAGTTATGAAATAACTATTCGGTGTTTTCAATATCATTTTAAGTATGAAATACTAGTATTCTATCCTATTTCCCTACGGCTTATTTCTTGTTGTGATTTTTTAAAAATCTAATATTCATATATATCATTATATCATGTTTTAGTAAATCACCATTCAAATGATTCTTAGATCCATATCCAAATAAAAAACTAAATTGTTTAAAAATCAAATTCACTTAAAAAATCTTATACACCGAGAACCGGAATGGACCTCCCAACGAACGATTTGTTTACTATGAGTTCACGGATGCAGACGGATTAAACGGCGTTTAATCACAAGGCATCCCATATCTATAATATGTCACCCTTTGTCATGGTAATTACTCTTTCGTCATCCATATATTAAAAAGTTCATCCATATTCAACAGGTATGTACTTCGTCCCAGTAAGCGATAAAACATCAGAAATCTATGCATTAATATTCATTTCAAATTATAGTCATTATAAGTGGTTTAATTTTAAGAGGATTATATAATTAGTTCGAGAACACCCCCCCCCCTCCTCCCCCACACTACATTTTTGCTGTTAATTTTGGTTTTCCTAGGGATGGATCCTAGAATTGTAAACTGACTGCCAAAAAAATAATATAAACTTCTTTTTGTAAGACTACTCTGTGGTCAAGGGGGTTCAGAGAACGGGGTAGGGGTATAGGGTATAGAAAGCAGGACAAAAACTTTAAAATTATAAATAAAAAAATAAAAAATAGATTTATCTAATTTTCAATTCCACCGTATTAGTTAAAGCATGACGGAAGCAGTGTTCGGGGAGTGAGAGGGGGGTTGTTTCCATGTAAACTTAACGCTCGCTTTTTCGTGGTAGATCTAGAGATTGGATCAAAAACACACGAAGGTACATGTCGCATACATGTAGCTTAAAGTTCACGGCAAGGAGAGAATGGCACCATTTGAATACAACATTTCAATACACCACAGATCATACTCCATAAATCATTAGATGGTGGGTCTAAATCATTTACAGAATACTATAAATAGGGAATAAAAAGATAAAGAAGCTATGTTACTGACATTTAGAAGATCCATAGCGTTTCTATATTCAAAATCTATTTCATATTGCAATTTTTATTTTAAATGTATGAAGAAATAATTATATGTTTGTTAAACTTTAAGAATTTCTTGTTTTTAACTTTCCGTCAAGAATCGCACTCTCGTAATAGAAACCTTCAAGTTTGGCCGAACCTATAAGATGCCAATTTTACTATCATACGAAACTAGAGGTGATACCTGTGAATAATTTAGAATAAATATCAAGAAAAACTTTGTTCAGTTATCAACTGTATCTAATTTGTATGTAACTTTGCCAGTCTCATGTTACCAAGGCTAAACCAATGAAATTTGCGTGCGTTTAGTTAATTCTAAATAAAATACTTTCTATTGTAACGGTGACTTTGGCCGCATTCACACATTCAGAACAGCGGACTAACTAGTCCACGGGTTAAATAAAAACTTCCCCAGGGGGAATCTATTCATTGTCTATTAGCGAATTAGACGGCAAGCTTTTTCGTCGGTTGCCGCATTTGGCCCGTGGACTAGTTGGTCCGCTGTTCTGAAAGCAGTTTTTTTTAAGTATAGATCACAGGTATGACTTACAGTAAAGACTTTTCAGATACCTGACTATATTATAAATGAAATTCAGCTGTTACTCACCCTATTAGGTCAGCGTACAATGTGTCGGCTCTGCTGAAAGTAGAGAATGTACCTCCAACGGCGAGCGGTCAGTATTTATACGACGCTCCGGTCAAGATGACCAACCGCAAGAAACAATCCACTGCAATATCTCAAAGATTCATCAGCGACTGCGAGTGGCTATTTCTCCTGCGTCACGCTGTACTGGGTAATGAGATGGAATAGATAACCGAGGCCATTAACATTTTGATGACGATCTTAATTAATCCGACGGTGATAAACGAGAGATTTTCCCTCAACCCGCAACCAGGAGACAAATCGCAAAACACAGAGGATACCCTGAGATATGGTTCTAGCATAACGGTTATCATATTAAAATTTAAAAAAATAAATAACTGAACTATGCAGCAAAGGGGCGGGATATTTAGCAAAACATGCAAGAAGTCCTTTGCATTTTTTTTTTTTTTTTTTTTTTTTTTGCAAATTTAAGGAGAAATATTAGTCAGATAAAAGATACACCAAAGAAGTCACAGCACTGTATGTTTTAGGAAACTGGGATCCTTATTTTTGAAAGAGACGACAATTTTTTGAAATTTTTTTTTCACTGACTTTACTTTTCACTTATGCATTTATATTTCTAAAATGTACGTGGATCTAAACATCTTAAATTGAAATGCGAAACCAATTAATTTTTATTGCTACAATTCAACAAAACTCTGACATATCTTTGTATCAACGCGGTTAGCACACATTTTTGACATTAGATTTTTATTTCATTATATATGCGATCATATTCTTCTGAAATATAATACACAAAAAGGCTACCTCTTCTAAGAACAATGAATTTTGGAATCCCTCTAAACTATAATTGTTAAGTACAATCAAGATGCTGTCTCCCTCCATGACCGTCTTAAGAGGAAGTGTGGGTCCACTAAATGACCTCACCTCCACTTTAATTTCCATTATGTTCATTGGAACACTCGCTTTGTTGTTCTCTATGTTTGTGACTGATACCTTGTGCAATGTCCGATGATTTTCTTGTTGTCCTTTTCCGGGTCAGGTTACTATTACAATACATGTATGTGTATAATAAGTGGTAGGGGGAAGTCACGCTGAGCAGTCAACTCCTGCTGCTGTTTAAAACTAAGAAACCTCATCTACGGCTTAACTTTCATCCTTACCGAAATCACCTGCTTTCTTTTCTTTTCTAGGAGGAAAATACTTGCTAACGATTTAAGCCATAAAATACTACATGTAGGCAGTTTGTGATTGTGTCATCCCTCCGCCCTCACAAAAGAAAGGTTTTTGTTGCGCTTCATGCATGGAGATTCTATCCCCGGCACAACAGTTTTTTTCCTTGGATATTTTTTTACTGCCGAGGACTGAGCGTCAGAAGGCTATGGTTAGCGTAGTGTCTCCTAATCTTCAGTCTCATTAATGATTAAAAAAGCACAAGCTTGCATTTATGTATGTTTGTTGACATTTATTAATGAATGAATAAATGAATGAATGAATGAATGAATGAATGAATGGATGAATGAATGGATGGATGGATGGATGAATGAATGAATCTATCAACCAATGAATCGATGTGTATACAGGTGATGGATGCATGGACAGAACGGAATGTACCTAAACGTAAAACCAAATGCGCGTTCCACTTCCTAGACACTTTTAGCACACAAGTAGCGCGCAGAATTTAATTAAGAAAATCCGACACAGAGGAGTTACTTCCTTTAGCAGGCCGTTTAAGATATAAATCGCCATTTGCCCATTTTGCGTGTAGGTACATATTAGAAATAGTTAACGACACGGTATTAATGCCCATGAGGATTCTGTTTGGGTCTGTTGTGAATAAAAACCAGTCTGTCAAACGAGGAAGTCTACGTCATTTGACTGTATTTTATCATAGGGATGATTGTGGAGTTACATTCGTCTGTGTCACTCCTTATGAGTAGGTCCCTAGCACACTGTTGAGACAGGACCCTCTACACGGAGATGGCATGGGGACATAGGGTTCAAATAGCACCACTTCACACTGACAGAGCCGGTCGAAGAGTTTCAAGCATTCCTCTACGCAAAAAAGGAATGGACGTTCAATTTCAATTCAGGCAGTAGTCACACCGTTTGTCGCTCCTGATGGCGTATGAGTGCGCTCCAAGGTGTAATAGAGGGGGAACCTCCGGGTATATTACCCCTGGGTACTATCTGACCACAGGGGGCGCTATAGTAGTCTCTTAGGCTCTATTCCCATAGATTTTAGATCGATCTATCCCCGCGGGGAGTCTCACTAGATTACTTTCAGATAATCCGACTTAAATGTCCGTCCCGCCTACTACAAGCTGTAAGGGGGTAATTAACTTTCGTGTCCGCCCGGCTGACAGCTATTTAGCGTGAACCCCCAGGGAGTTAGGTCGATCTAAAGTAGGTCGATCTAATCTATGGAAATGGGGTGTTAGAGGCCATTCCCACAGATATTTAGATCGATCTATCCACCTGGGGAGTCTCACTAGATTGCTGTCAGCTTAATCGGCTTAAATGCCTGTCCCGCCTACTAAAAGCTGTAAGGGGGTAATAAACTGAAGCTGACAGCAATTTAGCGTGAACCCAAGGGAGTTAGGTCGATCCAGATGGATCGATCTAAATCTGTGGGAACCCAGTCTTATAAAAATGTTGAAAGCGTGTGATTTTGTACAGTATTTTAATGGAGCCCTGATATCAGATGGTAGCCACTGGGAAGCCGCTCTGCTATCACCAGAGTAGCCTAATCCGTTGTCATTTAACGACGGCCACATCGAGTTGTCAAAGTGAACCGGTACATTTATACGTGAAAAAAGGCCTGCCATACCAGCCGGGTCGGTTAGGTTATCGCATCCAAATACATAAAGGTGGTAAATAATCTTTCATCACCTTTGGGATAAATGTAACATGGTCCATAGGAGCCTACGCGTGCGTCTTTTGGACGCCCCTTTACATGCGAAAACGACATGCACCGTGTCTATTTCGTATGTTAGTAAGCCCTATAGCAGCGGAATTGACAAGGCCTATGCTGCGTTCGTCTTTTACTACAGAGCTTTGAGACCCGAAAATGACATGGTTGAGTCTGTTTCGCCACTTACTGAACTGCATACGTAGATGCGAGATTGACACGACCCATGTCGCGTTCGTCTCTTACCGTGAGTTTCATAGTAGCTGTCTTATTCTTCATTTTAATCATTATTTTTTGACATTATATCTATTTATTTTAATAATTTTTTTTTCAAATTTAATGTGATCTTATCATGCAAACCTTCTAAAATGTCCATGAAACCCAGTGGCGGATTTTTGGTGGGTTAGGGGGTCTTGACCCCCCCTTCGATTCCTGAAAATAAAATCACACGAATTGTGCCCTCTTGAAATTAGAATTTTGGCTAGCTGAATCATAGAACCAAATGGCACCTTTCGCCCTCTAAAAAAATAATTTTTCTGAGCTGTGGGGCCCCGCACTCCACGCCAAGGGGGGGGGGGGGGGGGGGGGGGCCTTGCACCCCNAAGTCCTAAACGTCGTGACTCAACCTCCGTGCTAAACCTGTAGTTCTCAGACGGCCCTCTAAGACCTAGCTACGCAATAAATACTGCTTTTATGGAAGAAACTTTTTAATTCAAGGTATGTTCTTCTTGTTGCTTTACATGGCTTCCTCGAAGGGAAACGAAGGCAATTGGGTCATGGCAAATGCCATGATTTTACTAGAAAATTAACTTTGTATTAGTCGTTTAATCAATCATCTTTACCTCACTATTCAAAGACCATGTCTATATATAGGAATGGGATAAAAATCACACCAGCGGAGAAGAGAGCGACTCTTGTCTTGGCTGTGTTATGACTGTGTTGCCAATGGAAAAAGATAACAGTGAGTTTACTTTGATACAGTATCACAGAAACTTGTCCGACTGGTATCTCTGTGTTCTAGATAGCTCAGGAGATCCAGCTGGGAAATATATATCAGTTTATCTAAAACCCCCTCCGTTCAAATGTTAATATATATGCCGCTGTCAGGAAGCATAGCGTGGTTATGCAATTACAAAATACAGGAGGAGAGAAACTCTCCTTTTCATTCATATTTCGTCATATTCTGACATTTTTTTTTTTTGTTTTTGCTAAATTCCACTCAGGAGTCCACCATTTATACTTGAAACTGAATGGAGCGATTCGTTGATGTCGTCTGCTCTACACACCCAATGTGTCCAGCTCACGTGACATTTGGCAGGCGACACATGGCAGGCACCAAGTGGTGGCGCAGATATCGCCACAGATGGACCCCTAAAAAATATTTACAAACTTTTATTTTACAGAGAAATTCCGTCGTTATACTATCTTATATCAATGTACAAGATGGACTTTTCAGCAAAAGGGACCTTCTTTTTTTGTTTTGCTTAATTGCTTTGCATTCGCAATCAGCATAGTATGTCCCACAAAACATTTACGGCGCATCGATTTTTAAAGAATGCTTATAGAGAAAACGTAGATATAATACTGTTTTCCTCTGTCCCCCCTTTCTCTCTCTCTCTCTCTCTCTCTCTCTCTCTCAAGTAAAAATAATAATTCCTCAAAACCCATTACTATCACACAGATACACAGCTGTACATACTCAAATACCACTAAACATTGGGAAGTAGTCTCCTGCGATTTATGCCTGTGCCAGCTTTACTTGACTAAAAGCGGGAGAACACCAATCGGCAAGCATCGGATAATTCCGTAGCTTTACCGGAAAAGACGCGGTATCACCCGAGGCTTTCCGAATGAGACGAAGGCGTACCTGGATTCCATACATGGTCCTCAGTTTGAGCCTCAGCATTGCCACGCCCATCTGACCATAGAAATACGGTATGCAGCAAGTCTCGCGTAAACGAGCAGCAAGAGTGCATAACAAACTCATTATACAAAACGTCGCCCAGATACCTAAGACAAATGTAAGAGAGTGACTGAAATTAACATTACAACCAATTATATTCATCACAGTGTTGAAAAAAGAACTGAATGCTCGTTTTCTCGCAGGTTGTCTATGTCGCCGCGAGGGGATCTTTAGTGGGAGGGGTTAATAGAGGATGTGGATTCTTTCCATGCTTCCGTGGCCCTCCTTGTGTTTAATCCATAAGTGTGTGAAAATATATATTTGTTTAGAGTCTAAAATGCACAAAATGTTCAATAAACTTCACAGCTTAAAAACATAAGGAGAGTAAGATGCATATTAATAAGAATGATTAAGATATTAAATGAATTTTCAATCCATAAATAGATTGTATTTTTTCATAAATGATCGGATTATTTGAGCGTATCCTTTAATTCTGGTCATCATCCTGATTTTTATATATTCAGAACTGTCACTCAGTGGCGCTAATTATTATATTTATTCCTTCTTATAATTGAAGATACTGGACTTTGAAAAATTAAAAATAGCCAAAGTTTTCTTTTTTAATCAATAATATAATATTTCAGTTAGTCACTACTTATTCAGTGTTGAATTAAATACCCTTTTCAACTTAATACCATCTATAAACCAATACTCACAGCTACCGCAGTCCTCAAAGCATCCGCAGAGTCCTGAAGACCATGGCCGGACATTCTGAGGGATCTGGACAGGTTCTTCTCGCTGAATCATTACTACGGTCGCGGGGGCTTCCATGCTGGAAAACATAAGTGTTAAATAAAACTTGACTTGAAATATTTCTCATATAAATCACTTGCTATGAATATCGTATTTAAGTTGAGTTAAAGATTTCGTACTTTAGTCAGTCGAAAATGAGCTCTGCACTGATTTCAGCCGGAATAACAACGAATTTCGATGCTTTATAAAACCATTCAGTCATATAAAGTATGTAATGCCATCACTCTGGAAAACGCAACGTACATTGGCAAAAATAGACCAAAGTTCTCCTTACTTATAAAAAACTGTTACTTATGTAAGAGCAAAGTCTTACAAACAATACACACACGAAGACGATGAAAATGTGTGAAAAACCACCTGTTCATTTGTTGGTCTGGCTGTGCTTCCTTTCCGTTGACTACACACTGCTTCCCTACGTCCTGTTTCTTCGTTGGGAAGATAAATATTTGTCTTTGACTTCAGATTCAGTTTTCTTATCTTCTTTGTGCAACATTACATGGGATGCACCTTAGGTTCTATTTTTTGAAGGTTGATATGCCGGAGCATCCTTATCACCTAAAGTGACACGCTGGGGAAAGTGTAAATCGTGTGTGCGTTTGCTTGTGCACATGATATTGCGCACGTGGGGAAGAGGCGGGAATAAATCATTTTCCCCGTCTGAAGGATACCTCGAGTATGCTAATCATTTTAGATAATGTGTGTTTCTTTGAAGATAGGACAGTTCGGCAAATTAAAAAAAAATATGATTAAAATAAAAAGTTCATTCAAAGGTTTGCCTATGACCTGACATTAATGATAGGGGGCCTACATTTTTCCCAGTATACTGGCTCGAAATGTTTTTTGTAAAACCGGGGCCAGTTCGGACAGCACGGTAGAACTTGGACGACGATGCTTAATACAGACTCGGTCACGATCAAAATGTCCAACTTATATCAAAGTGTTCGGTAAAACAGAAAGTGTTGTAAAGACACATTTGATAGTTATGTGCGTAAGTGATGCTACAGAGTTCCATGAGTGCGTTTTGTCGCAACTGTCACAATTCGAATTTCTTATCTCATCTCGGGCTAAACAACTCCCAGCGTGAACAATACATGAACCACTGTCCTGAAATCACGTACTGATCAGGGTTACTCTTTCGTCAAGCCAAAACAAAACCTGTTTTTGCGGGTCTCATATTTCGCCGTTTCTGTTCGAGGTAAGCCTCATATATTGGAATTCCGATCACTTCACAAAAAGATAATCTCTCGTCAACAACACGCATTTTGTGTAATATCTGCCTTATTACATAATTTTTAAAACTCCTGGTGATTTAAAGTGCAAACTATCCAAATCTGTATCATGCATAATTTTGTATCGAAAACTTTTTAGCTTGTATTCCTATTGGAAATCTCGGCTACAGTTTCTTATATCATACACGTTTTTTTTTTTTTTTTTCATGTTTTCTGTGGGGCTTTAGTAATATTTCAGTACGTCCATATCAACACCTCCTTGATACTAGTAGGGCCTACCGCCCAACTGATATAGATATAAACACAGCCCTTATCATGCGTCATGAGTTCTGGTGACATAACAATATGTTACTTATTATCCCTTATGCTGAAAACGCATTCGCCCTTTCACAAAGTCGACCTATATTCTGTATGCGTATTTGAACAAACCTCAAATCATGTTTCCAACCGAATACTCATATACATTTTACTTTTGCTTTGTAGCTGTACATATACATGTATATAGGACTTGGTCTTCATCTCCGATATTGGCACACATTTTAAGTCATCAAATGGAAATGTGATCAAATTCACCAATTAAAATCTTGAAGCCTTGCTCAAATTTTAATCAAATATACTATCAGTAAATAGCCCCTGTTTATCTCTCTTCCAAACTTCGGTTGGCTTGGGTCCACGATTATTTTAAAGAACCATATTGAAACCTAATAGAAAAAAATTCGCGTAACAATATAAACGTTCCCGTTGCTAGGCATTGTCTAGACTCAGCTCTGTCGCTTTTGTCAAAATATAGACAAGTGCCACTGATAGAAAGGCGTCAGGTGACTAAAAAAGAGTCTTGTTTTGATATCGAATGGTAAACCGCATTTGATGTGCACGTACTAAAGCAAGGCCGGTTACGTGTCAGTTGGTTTACTCACCACCCTGGTACCTGTAGGTGTAAATAATTAGACGCAGGCTATGCGGACGTGTTTGAACATATTAATAAATGATACTATGAAAAACAGCAGTAAAAATTAAATTGTGTATTGAATCATTTGAAGATAGAAAATAGAAATTCACTGAAAATATATATCATTTCTAGTCCTAACAGTTTTTAAGAAATCTAAGTAATTCTTGAGGAAATACAGGTAAAAAAATTAAATCATATAATGTTCATATCAAATCAATAGCACAGTAAGCGTTATCATAATCACTGCTGCAGTTATATTTCTGGAATGTCGTTAGGTATCAACAAACGTGATACTGGTCGGAATGTTTGAAATTTTAATGATGGTGTTTCGCTGAATCTGTTTTCATTGGCTGTCGTCTGCTTACAAGCCCACTGCATCCAGCTCACGTGACATTTGGCAAGCCACGCAAGGTCCACACCAACAGGTGGCGCAGATGTCACCACAAATGGAACCCTGGAATTGAGAGCAATAATTTCGCCAAATAAGAACTGTAGTGGCGAAATAAATGTGACTGTAAAGATGAACATATCATGATAAAATGTCATAGAATTATTTTAAACAGTCAGACAATTATTTGTAAAGATGTTCAAATGCATCCCCGCCTTTGAAGAAAATTCTATATTGAAAAACCCACTTAAATTCTAAACCCGACCACTATAACCCATACTCAAAGTAAAGAAAACATGATTTTACTGTAATTGTCCTCATCCTGGCAATAAACAAGAGGGCACCGTTAGCTAAACTCGTCTAATTCCGTACCTCCATCGTCAGAAGCAAGGGCGGATCCAGAGATATTTTCTGACAGTCTTCCAAATTATCTTTGTTAATTTGTCCTCAATTTTTGACCGTCTTCCGACAGAAAATATTAGATACCCGTCAATGTAAACTTAAAAATCTGACCGTCTTCCGGAAGACCCAGAAGACGGCCTAAATCCGCCCCTGAGAAGTCGATTCTGAAGTCAGTTGAAGTATTCTAGATTTCAAACGATCACCCACCTGTATCCCATACATGGTTCTCAGCTTGACTCGCATGGCTGCCACGCCCATCTGCCCATAGCAGTAAGGCACGCAGCAAGTCTCGTTCAGCCTTGAGGCGAGTTGACACAGCATGCACGGCAGGCAGAACATGGCGCAAATACCTGATGAGGGAAAAATGACAACCTTGATTTTTGGTGCGAAAATTGTTAATTCGCAACAGAGAATACGATTCAATGTCGGATTTTCAGTGCGTGGGTTTGAATGTGTTTACAGTGAACGTGTTTACATGCAAGTTAGGTGGATCAAGATTGAGCCGACTCTTTCCTAATCCCATCTGATTAATTTTAGCTCAGAGCCTCGTAGTCTCTCCTCTGACTCCAACACATAAACCAAGAAATTGTGTTTCCTGTGAAGCTTTTTTTATCCAGGCTCCAATGGGGTCTCAAAACAAAGTGACCTCGCTGGACACCTTGGCACCCTTGGACAACTTAATATAGGCTACAAATATACAGTCGTTAGTACTAGTAAAATACAGACCAGAGTAAAATAATAAAAGTCCTTGGTCTCGAACCGTCCCACTGTTTTAGTTCAAGTGGGCAACTGTGTGAAACTTGTAATTGTTTTGGTGCCATTTTAGAGACATGTAGCTTTTTGTTCTTTCCCTATTATAGCTCCCTGTGCTCTAGAAAAATGCAAACAGGGTTCTTATCGCTAGTGCAGCCGTTTTGGGACCATTTGAAGAAACACTGACTTAACTCACAAGAGTACTACACGTCCGAGCCCAGATGATAATCCCTTCCTCAAACATGCTTTAGTGTGCAGAACAGTTTACAATTGTGTACAAGAGTAGATAACTTTGATACATACTGTCCAAAGAGTTAGAATCCTACCGGATTGGCACTGGCATTGGAAGGGACTGTACAAACGATCTTATGGAAAGAGCCCTAGTCTAATTTCGGAAAAAACTTTTGCTTTGTCTATAAGGACAAATACCACGCTTGCAAGAGCAACAGAACTGCGACAAGGATGACAAATGCATTCTGCATTATTTCCTGTATAAAATGCTGCGATTTTTCCCTACAAATAATTTAAATTAAATTCAGGAAAAAGCATTTGCTTTGACCAAGAACAGCACGTTTTCTAATTTGAATAACTGAAGATGTGACGCAGAGACTGGAAGTGTAAAATACTATAGGTACGTGTATCGCTATACATGTATGATAACTATATGATGAGCCAATTTCGTTCTCTCTGGTAAATACAGAAAAAAAAACTTTTATATTGGAACTGCTAAATTTAAGGAATATGTATACGGCAATTATGTTTGATATGGATATAATACTATCATTAACATCGCTGTGATGAAACGCATTGGATGATAGCGCTTGCTTCATCACTGACCTCGAATTTTGTGTATGGTGCTTTGTAATTCGTGACGAAAAGGAAGGTCATTTGATTATTTTCATAGGTTTGTTATGAACAGAGAGCAAACCATTCCAATATATATACTTATCACGTATATATATTTCCACAATAAAGGAATTCAGTACGTTAAATTGAACCCCATTATATGAAGTGCTTGGTGCATGTACCGTTTATTTTCTATTCCTTGGCATTAAAATATAACAAAAACGTCATGGTAACGTCATGGTAACGTTATGGTTACGTTATAAAACGTTTTTTGTTTGGTGGATCCTGCCTTTGATCATATCCTCATATCCGGGTGAGGCATTGCATCACGGAGCAATAGAAAAACACTGGTTGCCTATTTTTCTACCCCCTCCTACCCCCCCCCCCCAAAAAAAAAATAAATAAAAAAAAAGAAAGAAAGAAAGAAAGTCATCAAGCCCTACCATGACTCCTATAATTCAATCGTGGACCCTATGACAAGAGGAGGGTAACCGTCAGTACCATAAAACACCGGGTTCTGTTTACCCATGGCCACTCTCAATAAATAAATAAATAAATAAATAAATAAATAAATAAATAAATAAACAGAAAGCAACAACCGTGCAAATACTCACAACTGCCACAGTCCTCAAAGCATCCACAAAGTCCTGAAGACCATGGCCGGACGTTCTGAGGGATTTGGATGGAACCTCCTGGCTGTATCGTTACTACTGGGGCGGCCATGCTGGAACATATAGAAAATATCAATGTACAGTGTATGATAATTTCGGCGAAATGGGTCAGGGGCGGATCCAGAGATACCGTTATTTTCTGACAGTCTTCCAGTGTGTCGCTGAGATATCTGGTACATGTAGGGTTATGTTGTGTTTTAGGCCATTGTTTAGCCAATGTAAGATGCCATACTCACCCATACGCATATGGCAATAAAGTTAAAACAAAGAGATAGCTACACAAAGGAATAGACTTATAGATTAACCTAAAGAACAAATAAATGGGACACTAATAGATCGCACTTAACCTATTCAAACAGGGTGGGGACGTTTAAGACAGAAAAACTGGTGATTGTATGAGTACGTTTTAAACAAGCGGAGGCGTGTTAATCTCCAGCACTGTGTATTTAATGTATTTAGATTTCTCTAAAAGCTTACGTTCTGTATATAACTACCAAAAAATAATTTTTTTTCGTAAATAATACCACGGTGTCGTAAAATACCCCACCGAGAAGAAATATGCTTTTGTGATGAGGTTTAACTTCCTTGACTTAAATGGAATTCACTGGGGCCTCTCAAGTTTTACATTCAATGATATAATAGGTATAATTTACAACAGGCACCAATCTAAGGCGCGTCACCAAGCGACCCACAGCTCTCTTCTCAAACTGAGTATAAGATGTCGTGCCAATGAGAAATCCACGTTACTACAACATATAAAATCGTGTTTGCACACCACTACGAAGTACCACTAGTATGGTATTGGACCCATTAAACCTCACAAGAGACCGATAACAACTTCCCATTAAGAATGTGTAGATTAATGACTCTTGATAAGGTATGATAAATCAGTTGACGTGAACAAAGGAAGAGTTAGGGTGTTGCTATAGGACAAAGTCTGCAAACAGCAGTCCTCCTACTTTAAGTATAAGTAGTGCCCCGTACTGTTAGAAAGATATTTAGTTAGAAATTATGTACAAAACTGTGTGAAGTGTCAACAACAACAACAACAACAACAACAACTATTATTATTATTATTATTATAACTGCACCCTTTTCTTATAGCTATTGATAACTTTATGTGACAAGGTTGAATATGTCCCACTTATTCTGTGTTTATCTTATTGTGATAGTAAAACAACCACGCCCAAAAGCAGTGTTGCCCTTCAAACAGCCGTTGCCTTCTTGTTTTCTGGAGGTGATCTGAGACTGTTTGCCTTTTTTGTATGTCACATAGAAAGAAACATCAGACAACGAAAAGAAAATATACAAAATAAAAAATAAAAAATAAACCCCTTTCTTCCCTGATTTCTCCGTTTTTAGACATTTCATTCCAAAGCTAAAAACGTCTTAAAGTCGCATGCATTCATGTAACGGAGAAAGAGGAAAACGGAAAAAGGCAGACGATAGTTTCGTAGATGGTAATCTTACGTTCAGTTGCCCCAATTTAAAATTTGAATGGCAGCGAATCTTGCATCCGTATTTCAGCTTTGAGTACATTAACAATGCTTTCTGACGAAGAACTTGAAACTGGTGTTCGTTATTTATCTTGCCTAACTTACGGGGAATTGAATTAGAGAGTCGTATAACCTTCACAATATAATTACTCGTGGTTTGGGGCAAACCTTTACTCTGGATTTTATTATGGAAATACTTGCATTAATCAGCGATAGTAAAGATGGGAAACTAATTGAAGTGCAAACTTCAAAACCCAGATTAGAGAGCGGACTCTTTCCGGCAAAATATGTGATTCGTTTCCCTTACGAATCATCCTCTCTCTCTGCTGGCTTGCAACAGACATGTTGCTGAAAATTTAGGTTTTCAAGATTTTGAAGGTTTTTCTGAGTGACGAACTGACGATTACGACAAAAATATAGAGTATTGTTAAATTTCTTTTGCTAATACATCAACACATTTTGTCTTTACGAATCCAGCGTGACAAATAAGATGAGCCACTGCTTACGTGTTTACATGTTTAATTTGAACACGATTAAATTAAGTTTGGCTATAATAAGCCCTGTACCATAGATATTGTGTATTCTGCTTAATATGACACGTGATTAAAAAAAGATGATGTTAGAAGCCTGTCAATAGCACTTTACCTTTGGCGTCCTTATTTTGTCCGTGAGCTCTCTCCGGTTTTAGTAAACTCAAACTAAAGTATTACCTGTTCATAAACCTTGGATACGGAATAAATATTTACCCAAATTTTGATTGGGGAAGTCTTATCTTTGTAGAGCGCCGTTCCCACAGAGAATTGAGTGAGTAATTACATGTACAGGCTGTATCCCATTAACAGAGTTATGTAAGGGGGGGGGGGGGCGATCTTGGTTTGGGGGTGTGCGTGTGCGTATCTTTGTGGGTCGAGGGCCATTTAAGGAGATGCACTACATGTATTGTCACTAATAGTAAGAATGATTTATAACTATAGCTATATGTATAAAGGTTTTATAGCTGTCCCAAAGATCCTTCTTGCTAAAACCGACCTCTGAAGAAAAAGAATAGGTAAATATCAGGTAGAGCAGGTTAGGTAAGAGTGTGCCCCAGAACAGATTATACAGATAACAGTAGATGCAAAATTTGTATCTTTCGGCTAAAGGTAATTGAATGTAGTAGTTGTCCCATGATTGCACTCAAAATCGATATATTTCGGTGTAGGTAGTCCAGTGCAGTAGTTGTTCCCTAATTCCAATCACATTGGCGTCAATTATCGCAATGATTTAGAAAAAAATCAATCAGAACAATGCATCTGACATCGTTAGGCGGTAAATAGTAAATGCCACTGGTGCATAAGCTAAACGACACGTAGAATTACCGATTTTTGAAAATGATTACTTGTTTTCTTTTAATTAAACACATTTACCTTTTATATTAAACATTATTTAATAAGTCACCCACACGTATATTAAGAGTACGCCTATTGATTGATTTATTCAAGAGTTGATTGGAAAAAATATAATTTCAGTCAGCATATCGTAAAACGTGCACACTGCATACACTGAAATACACTTGTCTCAAATAATCAACCTTAAAGCAAACATTAAGTTGTAAGCCCATATAATACATATACAGTCTACAAGGAAAAATAGAGACATAAGTTTGAATGACAGTATATTTACAATTCCCCAATGACTTCGTAAACTTGCTATGTACCTACATCAAAATATGTAAACATAAAGGTTTTAAACAAAGGTACTGGAGGATTAAAACCACTTGTTTCTTATGGAATGTTGTTTAAATAAACAGTTCATCACATCTATACAAACTCAGAAACATTCAGAATAACAATGTGCCAAATACGGTAAGAATGAATTTACAAAAACTCCCAAGAGAACACCAAATGTGGAGCATTTAGATTTATCATCTGTTGCAACATTTTAACGTCACGATATTTAAAAATTCTTGATAGCTCAGTCTTACTTATAATGATTATTCGTTGCCCTAACAGGAACCGTCCCAGATGGTTTCCGAACTAAGCATATACAATTCAGATTGTTTTCCAGGATAAGGAGCAGAGTGACTTTCATTGCTGAAGCAGATAGAAAACTCTTTGTTGATACGGGGTTTCTATAACCAGACTGTTACAAAAATAAATTTCCCCGGTAAATTAAACAGTGTGGATAACCTTTTGCTTGCATGTACACTTTTTATGTGCAAGTGTAATAAATTAAATTCCAGCGAAAAGCTCTAAAATGGCTGTTTTTGAGGTTAACTCACTGGTTCAACAGTGGTTTATAGTCAGGTTGCTAGGTTAATTATAGACACTATATTTCCCTTGAAGTTGTTGCTACCCATACATGTATAGCCCTTTCCTATAGCATTGGCGGGCATCTTTTTTTTATCGTTAATAAATGCCCAAGGATACAGGATCGTTACCCGCCAGATATGTATGGGGTTTAAGGATGTAGAAACCACTAACCAAAAACCTTATCCGAGTTTGTCTACCATACTCCCTGGAACCAGTCTATTATACCATATGATTCAAACGTATTTTGGACAAAAGTTTTAAAATACCGATTTTAAACATAGACCTAAAGGACCAATACTCCACATCCAATAATATTCAATCACAGGGAAAATTAAGAATGAATACATAAGTTATCTTAATTCAATTATAAATGCGTCCGAATGCATCGGTGGTGTGTGCTTTAATAAGTACACATAGCACGATGCCGCATTTTATAAACAGCTTATACCATTCATCAATCAGAAAGTTAGATTCAGAACTTGAGAATTTTCCAAAATGGTATTCAAACGCCTACAAACACTTCTTCGACAATGACGTTAGTGCTGGATTGCCACCCTGTGTACATTCCATGGCCTGAATAACCAGCACAAGGCGCTGTTCTCAACTCAACACTTGTTGGTCCGCTTGGAATGTCGTGGCAGATTCCATCCACTGAAAGAAAAACCCCAAACTTTCGATTAAGAATGGGAAAGGTGATATTTCACTGGATCGACCAATGAAATGATGTAAAACGAACATTTAACCTATGAGAAAATGTCTCTCTCGAAATGTAGGGTTTAATAAGTCAGACAATTCCACAGTGAAAAGAAACTTTAGGTCTGTGTTACGGAGTTCATGGGAGTGTATGGCAGAAAAAAGGGACATGCTTGGCGTAAGCTAGGTCTCTACGAGACAATGAGGAAACCATTACAAAACACACTTACCTACACAAGGCTGATGCCAGTGGGCCTCTGAAGGTCCTAACTCGTACATAACTCTCTCAATACTGCCCGGATTATTACACTCAGTTCCGTTAAAGGTCACGTACCAGCGCCCACAATTTGGGTTTCCAAGGATACGACAGTTGAAACTCCAGATAACATTAATGCCACTGTCCGAATATATTTTGTTGTACACGAAAAGCCTGAAGAAAAATATGGAAAAATCCCAACTGAGTGCACACCATCATAATCAACAAGCAAAAACTTACGTCACAATGACGTCACAATACGCCAGTTCATTGAATAACCCAAAACGCCAGTGTACATTTAGCTCACCTTGATGAGTGCATTATTGTTCCCGTTGTTAAGGCTGAGCCACCACCCGTGCTGTCTGTTCACCACTGGGAGACGATATGCGTGACCACTTGGGGTGAGAACTGGAAAGATTCAAGAATAGGATGAGAAGAAGCAAAATTGTGTGTAATTTGTGCTTTATTACTGACCAGCACATGTGACACGTCATACCTGATGGTGCTTTATATATCGTGGTTGTGCTTTTCAGTCGTGGTAGTTTGCGTACAGGATTTATACATCGATTGCTGTACCTTATAGACACAGCTAAAACCCCCGTCACACTTATTCGGAATCAGCAGGAATCAAGCAGAACCAGGCGGAATGACTAAATTTCAAAATTCGTACTAAATTCGGGAAGAAATTTCAAATTGATCTAAATCCTTTTAAGAATGCCGTTGGAATACTCAGAATGCGCTGTAGTTCGATTGCTGGCTGAAATAGGATCGAGATGCATTCGAGTTGCATTCTGGCTAATTCTGGCAGGATTTGAAGTGTTTTGCCATTTCGGTTCTCCCTCGAATGTGTGTTCAACTACATTCGAACTGCATTTGAGGGCTAATACACCCAAAATGTGCACGAATCATCCCAGGCGGGTTCGAAGCGCATACTGAGTATTCCAACGGTAATCTTACAAGAATTTAGGTCAATTGTTTTTTTCTTCCCGAATTTGGTGCGAATCTTGAAAATTCTTCACTCCGGTTCATTCTGCCTGATTACTGCTGATTCCGAATAAGTGTGTCGGAGGCTTTACTTTGGAAGTACGTTCTTCCATGCTCTCACAGTGCGTAAAAGTGTCCCCCGAAATCATCAAAAGAGAAAAGTAATCTGTGCTGGGAAGTAAAGTCCACCCCTCTCGTGACGCAGTTAGACTGTAGAACCTTTCAAAACACAGCTATATCGCTGAGATATAACTTTCGATGTGAAGAGGGCCTGTGCAAATATAAATGAACACTCACCAGCACTTATATCATTGCCAAGACGCGACTCCTCCATGATCAGTATATTCTCTTGATTCCAACCGGTATGGGGATGGCCTGCATTATAGCTATCGTAACAGGCTCCAACGTGAAGGGAAACCGTAACCGTCCCTGCCGCAAGTCCTTTACATAGTCCGTGTACTGAGGATGAAAATCATTGCACAGGCTATACATAGATGATTGTAGTTTTGAATCAATGTTAGTCTCGTTATGAAAAAGCCATTCTCCAAACTCGTTCAATATTTTCCGATAAAAACATTAAAAATTTTATCATTGCATGTGATGTGTTAAGTAATCATAATCAAACCTGATACTATATAGACTTCTAGTGTTATACAAACATATGCTTTCTTTTTTAACTTAATAATGTTAGTCTCTCTCTCTCTCTCTCTCTCTCTCTCTCCTAAAAAACCTACATGCATATCCCCTGTGAAACATGCTATCTCCTTGCACGTAGAAGACCATATCGACAGTGCCTGGGTTTTGGCATTCTGCTCCATTAAACTTAAAGTACCATCGCGAACAGGCGGGGCTTCCGGACACATACAAATTTCCAGAATAATGAATGACAAGTGCTGTATCACTGGCCCTCTTCCGGAATGTCTCGCTCTAGAAGATAGTTGCACAACTAATTACACCACTACCTGTATTGGTGGAAGAGAAAAAGCAAAATGTGGGGCTATTTTTAGTCATTTTTGTTAAGGCCCTCCTTGTTGTCACTCCCAATCATGTATGGTTAATTGCTGTGCCCAAGGTTTAAACCAACACTAACGTACATTGTAAGTGAAGTATTTCGTACCCAATCAAAATTCAACTGCATGTATCCAAACAATTCGTCCACCGAAGCATTAAAAAAAAAACCAACTCTGTTCCCTTGCAAATCAGTGGCAACAACGAATGCCTTAAAATGTTTACAAGCATGTGTATGGAAAAGCACAGATTTAACCAATTATTACGAAAAGTTAAAGAACATTGGCATTCTCTGAAACACTCTTAGAACTACTATATCCCAAAGGTTAGAACTGTTAGATATGCAAAGGCTTTTATCCCATGGACCCTAAGGAATTTTAATGAACAATGAAACTGATTAATAGAATATTTTAATAATTGCATTATTTTGTGTTATTGATCGAATTATTTTGAAGAAACTGATTGATTTAATATTTTAATATTAATTGAATTCTTTTATGGAACTACTTTAAAGAAGCAGTTCAGATTTTATATTTTTATCAGTGAATTCATGTTTTACTGTAATAATGTGTTTTAGTTGCTTTTATCACTTTTTTAAAACTTACCTGTAAAATCCAACTTTTAGTTGTAAGACTTAACATTATTATTATTAATACTCACAATATAGGCATTTGCACTTCCTGTGTAAGCGTAGTAGTACTTGTTCAGATATTGAATGTTAAATGTAGACAGCGAGGCGCAGGCACCTAAAACATAAATGAGAAGTTTGCAGTATTCAGCCTAGAATAGAAACGGTGACTATATGACTTTTAAAAACGAGTTTCTCTTTGAGTTTGTTCTCTCTCTCTCTGGTTCTTGATAACAATGAAATCGTTAATCTAATGCGAAAGGGAACTTTAGTGTCGGCAGATGCGCAACATTTAAGCCCTTTTGAATAGCATTGATCAACGTCCTCCTCCCGTTGTCCGGGTCTGTCGGAAACTTTAGTCTACAGGTATAATCATGGTATTTATCTCTTTTACTGAACGGTGATTATGGTAAATTATGTAGTGGTGAGCCGCTATCCGAACACTAAAACAAAAGGTGTTCCTATTGTTTCTCTTTTGTATTTCTTAGCACTTGTGATGAATGTTAATGAGGCAGTAGGTCATGGACTTAGGGAGAAAAGATTAAGTCATCATCACATAGGCTTAAAATTCCACAACAGCGATTCTCACATTTTTTTTCATTTCAATAAAAATCCGTTGTCTTCTTACCAGAGCCAACGCCGTATTCTACTTCGGCCACGGTTATCCTGCTTCTAGCTCTCCATCCAACATAGTTACTTCGATCTGCGCTACATCTAACAGTTGCTAGAGAAATTGATCTCACTCCGGATGCTATGTTATTACAGATACCGAAAACTAAGAGAAAAATAAAGATTGGTGAAATTAATAACAGAAGAAATTTAATGCCGTTGAAATATGTCCTCAATTCACTGATGCACAGCGCATACTCTTAGAGTACTGCATGTAATGTCTATGAATATGCATGTACCTTTACGTTACCATAAATAATTTTGTTTTGGAATTTCTGTTATGGCTTTTAGATTTTTTTTAATTGCTACGATATGCTTATTTGTGTTTAAAAAATGACATGAGTATTCAAATAATAGAAAACGAAATCCAGAAAATATAGCAACAAGTACCGACACATTTGCTGTCGTCAAACATGAAGTTAAATAACATGTTTTAATTGGAAACAAGCTATCCATTTTTTTACACATACTTATGCTACTAAACACTTACAGAAATAAAGAACTTACACTCCGTGTGTTTCAAGTGGTTTCTAGACTCGTGATTAAACTCTGTGAACCGGATGCGTCCAGGATCAGCACATTCTGATCCGTCAATCATGAAGACCCAGTACGTGCACCCATGCGCCGTGTTTACCGCTGATCTCGTGGTCCCACTCCATTTTGAGGTACAGACCTGTTTCGACTCCTTTCTTTTTGGTGTAAGAAATAGTCTGCAATACATATCATCGAATAGATTAAATATTCATATCATGAGAGAATAAACATTAGTGTGTTATTTTATACATGTATGATAAGATAATTAATAAAACAGACAGTTGTTGTCACCAAGTGATTTTATAGGTACTCTTAGCTTTTGTTTATTATAACGATTTGGTGCCTTTAAGGCATTCTTAATATGTCAACATATACCTCAATTAGCATATCTTTGTCATTGAAACAGTGTGGGTGTTCCTCATGATACAAAATCAAAAATCAAATTATGATTTGTTTTGGTGTGTTGGTTAGGAGCAGGGTTACATATACATGTATTAGGCTTGTAGCATTAACCTGTCTTAAACTATATTTTGTAGTTTTTTTTTTCTTTCGACCCTAGTTTAAGGTTATGCATCTCATATGTGTGATATATTATTTTGCGCAAGTATCAGATGTGATATACTTTTAAAATGCTTATCTTACTTCTTAATTTACCCTTCCTCTATACACTTTTTCGTGTTATTCATACTCTTTGGCATGTAGTAACCATCGAATATCAAAATTAAACCCTCTCATGTAGCTTTTTAATATTTCATGATATACACTGCAATCCGCCGGCCTGATGGTACTTTCCCCTATTCAACCGCAAGAAAAACAAACACTGTCAAGGGAGTGGGCAATGTGAGTAAAGACTTAAAGGCGAACGTACAAACACAGTTTCAGTGCCGACACTCTTGGAGGTCGTCGTGGTCCACTCGTATATGTTAGAAAAAGGCGTCTCTTCACAGTCCGACAGGTCGCCTGGAAATGAAACAAAATTAGTCCTTAACATTAAGTTAAAGTTTGATCATCTTTATGATCATTTTATTATATGTTATAGACCAACTGTTTTTTTAGGAGCCACGTGAACTTATCTTTATGAGATAACCTTATTTTAAGATTAATTCTACGTAGCTGGACCCATCTCCGCGGGGATTGTCGCTAAATGCAGTCATTTTAACAGGTAAACCCGCCTCGTCTTGCTTCCAATTTACTCGTTTAATCAACAGCCTTTCTGTATTCTACTGAACGCGAGACATGGGGTAACTTGTATAAGGATATGAATATTTAATCTATTCGATGATATGTATTGCAGACTATTTCTTACACCAAAAAGAAAGGAGTCGAAACAGGTCTGTACCTCAAATGGAGTGGGACCACGAGATCAGCGGTTTCAATTTTAACTATCACCATCAAAAGAATTAAAAATATCGATGTCAAAGCACTCACACTCCGTACCCCTGCCTAAATTAATATTATATATTGGTCAGAGAGGATAGAGAGACATAAAACAGCCAACAACTATTAAATAAAAGATGTCAGATATTTTGGTGTCAGGTTTTTCTTAACATAAACGGGGCAAAATGCGGATAATGCCGTTCCTATAGTTCAAAAGTGCTTCGAAGTTTTTGGTTTCAGAGGTTTCAGTAACATTATTAACAGTTTACACAATAAAGAGCTGATAAAGCGCATGTTTAAAACGGGTAAAAAAATACTATGCCAATGGTAAGACCATTAACAGGACTACAAAAAAGTCCAAAATCTATAGTGTCTACATGTATTCCCCCAAGTGATTCCAGCATGAAGACAGATGTTCACTGCATTTTTTTTCTATTTAAATCATTGACCATGGTACGTTTGCTTATGGCTGTAGTTCCTTTTAAAAATCGATGATAAGAAAAAGCAAAGTCCTGTATTTCTTGTGCAATGTATGCGAAATACGCTATAAAAGCAAGTTTTGGAGACACAATGCAGGATCTATTCCTTTGATATGTTGCGTCTGGGCATGTATCGATCATATCAAAGCTCACTTTTGAATAACAGAATGATTGTTTTCTGCATCCGCTTTTGCTCCATCGTGTTCGATCGAGGCCAAAAAACGACTCTTTCTTGTCCATCTAAATATTTATTTGGCTCGAACAAAAAGAAAGCACCATATTTTGATCTTTCTAAAGAAAGTAATTATATTCTGACAATATTCTTACAGCAACGTTAACAGAACAGACTGAGACGCTCTGGTTCTGTCCACCAACCTAGCACAGTAGAAAAGTTTGCCATGTTCACACGAATGTCCTCATCTAGCCTAAGCATTTGATTATCTCTAGTATGACACTGGCGCGAGGCGGTTCTTAATAAAGCGGAAGTACTGCAGCAAGCCATTCACCTACCTACACAGTAGACCTCCCTGGTGTCACACGTGGCCCGACATCGGCCCGCCTCTGAACAAGGAGAGTTGGCACACTCGCTGTAGGTTGACTCCACGAGTGCGTTTACCTGTAACAAACAGGAAATATAGGATTGTGTTCAGATGCACGCACAGGAAGGCAATTCGATTTCAAGATTATCAAATTTATGGTGTACTTGGTTGTTTATTTTTATGTTCAATTCTACCAGTACAAAACGATTAATTTTAAATGTTGATTATCCATGAAATTTGAATTTATCACTTAGCAGCGATTGGCACTTTATTATGATTAGGTGTTTCCATTAAAAAAGGACGTAATTAGAATAAAAAACACTCAATAGTTGTGAATTTGTATGAAATGTCATAATGCTTGGTTGGCTGCAATGGTATCAAATGAAATGAAAACTTCTTAGCAAATTTGGAGTGTATTTGATTTTTAATTCAGTTTAAGGGGCAATTACGAATAATTTGGATTTAACAGTTTGTTCATTATGAAGTTCTTTTCACAATAGATATCTGTTAATAAGTTCAGAAATTTAAGTGCATTGTTTAGTCCGTTAATCGCAGAAAACAGAGCTACTGTACATAAATGCATGTTTCATTTTTTAAATTTCACCATCCAATTATTTAATTTTCTTATTAATCTGGACAACAATTGAGTGTCAATCACTCTTTCATTATTTTTTGTTTTCAATTTCTAAAATCACTCGGTATCCAGGTGTGGTGTGGGGCCGTCGTTCGCAGCATACTGATTTTAGACACACTCCGATTAGTTGTAAATATGTTTTTAAAACGTAACTTTTGCTTTGACAGGAAAAAATTTAATTGAAAAGAGACGAAATTCCTCAATCTATTTGTCAATGTCTTAAAAACAAAAAAGCATGATGATAGTCGTTTCCTTTGAAACAAATGTCCCTTTAAGATATTAAAATAATAAATAAAATGAAATGGGATGAATAAAAATAAACCTTATAAGTCCTAAACTGGGTCAAAATCCTCAACAGTTTCACAGACATAAAGCATTTATGGTCTGATACCCGAACCAGTCCGTTTATTTAGAAGAATATATCATATAAGATACAAAATAGCAACGAAACGATGAAGATTGCATTATTTTTAGCTGCTAAACCCAAAATACCACTCACCGCCTGCGCCTGCAGATTGGTCACCACCCCTCCACTCTCCACCACGCTGCTCGTCTCATACCCAGTCGTCTCTTGCTGAATATCAAGAATGTAACATTTCTTGGCGCGTCCATCAAAGTACGTGGACTGGCAGTTATTGTAAGATGGGCAGTACGCGAGACAGTTGAGGTTGGAAACGGCGGGATATTCTGCCAGATAAACCGGGACTTCATATTCAGGAGTCACTCTGATTGGCGTAGAACCACTCCCGGTACTAGGGCGGCACATGTCCAAAGTAGACCCATTTGCCGTGAGAGCATGTGGCAATGGTAAGACCATTAACATGACTACAAAAATGTCCAAAATCATGATAGTGTCTACATGTGATTCCAGCGTGAAGACAGATGTTCACTGCATTTTTTTCTATTTAAATCATTGACCATGGTACGTTTGCTTATGGCTGTAGTTCCTTTTAAAAAATCGATGATAATAAAAAGCAAAGTCCTGTATTTGCTGTGCATAACCCTCGAGAGTTTGTTTTTGGTTATGATTGGCGGGTTATTATCGAACCACGTGCATACGTTTATAGCAGTTTCTTGATAGAAATAGCAACAGGTTTTAATTTCAAGATTGCATATGAGATTAGTCAGTCTATAATTTTGATGTTTCGATTTCACAATACAGTCACATGATAAATAATATACTAAAAATCGGCGACATTAGACCTTGCCCATCGAAGCATATACATTTATTACAATTATTATCAACTTCTTTAAAAGTTGTCCAAATGTGATTATTAACAAAGTAAAAGGCCGGCGGAAATAATTGATTTTTTCAGTTCTTTGTTAACCGCAAATGTACGTCCGATTTTTTACTATCAACAGAACTGTTTTACAGAGCCAGAGCCAAGCGATCAAAAAAAGAAAAAACGTTGACGTCTATATTAATCAATTGTACTTCACGTTCTTATTCCTGCTTCAATATCAGTATTGTAGAATTGATATTTGTTTATCCCTTTATCACATATGGGCTTTGTTCATGTTCGGGTTGGCAATCGAAGTCTTGGTGATCACTAACAGCATGGTAAATATTCTTCATGAAACGACAGACAATGAAGATACAGCAATTGACAAAGGCGTGATCCCGATTTTAGTCATGTAAATAATATTATTTGCGATCACGGCATGATCTATCAAGGAACCATAGCAATACATGTAAAAAATTGGCTTCAAAACGTGTACATGACCAAAGGAAAGTTTTTAATTAAGCGCAACGTAGCAACAGTTAAATAAAAATCGTCTTTTGTGAGATCATATTTATTCTTTATTTTTCTTAGTTCACTACAGTTATCGAAGAAATCCCAAAGGACCCCTTTTAATAATTATTTTAGCCGAAACTGAGACTGTTATACATTCTAGACAACCAAGCTGCGTTTCATATTTTTGTCTAGAATGCTTTTCCTTTAGACCAATATCGCATTGTCGACTTTACAAAGTCCTCCATCTGATTTACTTAGCAACCAGGCCAAAAACCTTACGTCGTTCCATGAAACAAACCCCACGCTCTGAAACGATTAAATCCTCTACTTTGTATAAATGTCTTAATGCTGACTATTATCTATGAAAACAGTCATTAAAATGATAGTTCGTACATGTAGGGTATAAACGACTTCTCATTGAGCATATTATTGAGGTTGACGGAGATGACAACGAATTAGAATCGAAAAGATCTATAACCAAACATTTATTGCAAACAAGAAATGTGCGAGTTTCAGGTGTGTGTGTGTGTGTGTGTGTGTTCTTATAATTTCTATGTCTCAATATTTACCTGTTGATTGAACAAAATATTACTATATTCTTATAAATTCTTATAAATTCTTCTCTGATAAAAGATTTTTAAAAATTCATACATTGTGCTCACCTTATTCCCTTTAAAATTCGTACTATCAAGGAGTTATAACTTCTTGGTACAATATGGTTTTAGGCAGGTCTTAAACTTGACTGAACACAGGCTTGTCTTGGGAAATGTTTTGTTGATAGAGATTACATGGAAATTCAGAGTTAACAACTTTATTCGCCCACATTAATATTATATATATTTACTATAATATATAATTAATATAAATTCTTTATATGTAAGCACATTGTCTACAGGGGTACGTTGTTTGAGAGTAGTTGATAGAATCACTGGACACCAAGCAGCACAGCATACACTTTGGACTTTTACATCATCTTTCATTGTGCAATCCAACCGTTTTGGATTTTATTTCATAGTGCAATCTAACTGTTTTGTCTCTAATTTCACTGTACAATCAAACCGTTTTGTCTTTGGTTTCATTGTACAATCAATAAATAAAAATAACATTGATATTATGAGTAAAATTACGACACTAAACAATGGCACTAGGGCCTATCTACAGGGCCCCACTCGACGTAACAAAACTGTCGACAATGGGTGCTCTCTATATTCCTTCTTCTAATCTTACCATGGTCGGTTCTCAACAAACCGACGGCGTTTCATTTTGTGAGGGTTTTGTTACAAAAGTGAAACTCATCACCGTTACCAACCATGATGGACATCGTTTACATAATTGCATGCAACATCGGGTACGTTGAACATTAACCGAAGAACCGAAGGAACAGAATTGACATCAAGGCAGACGACGAATATACATGCACAACACATAATTACTTGCTTAAATTTCAACATGTAAATTGCATCAAAATATATACCATAAAATAACAATATACGAACTCAATCACTTAAATGCTTGGGCCTTAAAGGAATCACCCCAGATTGCTTCAAAAGACTTCTGTTTCCAGGCTTTGCAAAAAACTCTTCAAAAAATCCTTCCCTGACGCACATATGAGTCGGTCCAAAGGACACACATTGTCCCATCTTAATCATTATGCTAGTTTTCCTTAATCGCTTATTTACGGAGATTGCTATCGACACTAAAATGACTTAGAGGGCATACGGTGGTGGTGCTTAAGTTTAGCCCTTACATTTCCAATGGGGTTATGATTGCTAAGAGACTTATTGAAATAATAATGGCATCCACTGTTCGAAGACGCATGGAAATTTTACTTGCACAACAAACAATAAATGGGTAGAATCTCAACGCGTAAACTGTGTCAAAACACCTAAAAATTACAATTACATTAAATGATTTGTACAGACACTATCATGAAATGTGTGAACCAAATAGGAATCATCGCAGATTGCTTCCAAAATATCTGTTTCCAGACTTAGCGTAGAATTCAGCGATCTTTTGCGGGATTTGGAGGAGAGTGACTTCCACTGCTGAGATAGATAAAAAAACTCTCATTTGATGTGCAACTTCCATAACCTCACTGTCACAAGAATAATTCTCGCCAGTACATAACATATTTTCACTGTTATGTGCACTTATGAGCACGTGGAGTAAAGCAAAGTAGGGAGAAAAGTTCTTTAACGGCTATACTTCTGAGGTTCACTGTCAGGTTCAAAGCTGGTTTGATAAAATATATTCGTGCTAGGATTCAAACGTATTTTGTATAAAAGTTCTTAATACCCGCTTTACATGAAGACCTACAGTATAAACACTCCTTTAGACTACATTGCCTTATTGTTCATCCGCAAGGCAAAAATTAAGAATGAATACAGCCAGCAGACACATAACGTTTAATAGCGTTACCATAACGTTGTTTGGTTAAATACATAGTTACTAGAAAGTTATTTGATTATATGCATAATTACCATAACGTTGTTTGGTTAAGTTAACGTTATAATAGCTTTCTGTGTTTGCTGGGCATACGTTATCTTTTTTCAGAATTCTAAATTCTGAATTTGATAATTATCCGAAATGGTATTTAAACGCCTACAAACACTTCTTCGACAATTACGTTGGTGCTGGATTGCCAACCCGTGTACATATTAGAGCCTGGATAACCAGAGCAAGGAATTGTTCTCAGCTCCACACTCGTTGGACCGCTGGGAATGTCGTGGCAGATGCCATCCACTGAAATAAAATCCAGACACTCCATTAAAAATGGAAAAGACGGAATTTCACAGAATGAATGTTAAATGTTAAATGATGTTCCTTTACATAATGTGAAGGATCATTTATCCTATGGACAAATGCCTCTCTCTAATTTAGGCATTAATACGTCAGACATTGCCCTTAATTATTCAATATAGCAATTATGGGAAGAGTGGGAGACGTTAGAGTTTTGTAATGACTGCATGGTCATGACTCCATAATGCCCCATTAAATGTCGAATGGGCATCATAGGGACTTTACCAGTCATTAAAACGTTAACACCATAGATCCTGTTATGATCATTATTGTCACTTACGATATAGATTGTTGAAATAAAAACACCCTGCATCAAGTAAAATATATATGTACATATACTCCATTAAGAATGGGAAAGACGAAATATATATTTTAATCAATACGCCGCTATTTTAACGGGAGGCCTTTTGTCTCCAGTATGTGATAATATTGAAATATTTATTCACCCGTTCTAAAGTCGAACACGTAAAGTACAATGATTGACTCAATAGCTTTGGGAGCTCCTCAATCTAAAATACTTTGCACTCTCCAAAAATCGCAACGCCAGTGAAAAGGAACTGATGTTCTGTGTAACGGAGTTCGCTATCTTATCTTTATATTACAGAACGTAGAGAGAAACGTGGAGTAAGTTCTCAAGATGGCAATAAGATAACCATTACAAAACACACTCACCTACACAAGGTTGATGCCAGTTGGCCACCGAAGGTCCAGACTCGTATAGCACCCGCTCAATACTGCCCGGGTTATTACACGTGGTTCCATTAAACGTCACATACCAGCGTCCACAATCTGGGTTTCCAAGGATACGACAGTTGAAACTCCAGATAACATTAATACCACTGTCCGAATATATTTTGTTGTACACGAAAGCCTGGAAAATATGGAAACATTCTAACTGAGTGCATATCATCATTTATTACCGACAGCAACTGACCTCACAAGGACGTCACAAGACGTGCTCATGTCACATAATGACCCAAGACTTCCGTGTACGGTTTGGCCCGATATTAACATATTACTCACCTTGATGAGTGCATTTGTGATCTCAAGATTAAGGCTGAGCCACCACCCGTGCTGTCTGTTCACCACTGGGAGACGATATGCGTGACCACTTGGGGTGAGAACTGGAAAGATTCAAGAATATGATTGGAAACAATATTGTAAAGTAAGCAGTAAATCTCACATCTATGTTCTTACAAAATGTCATTTAAATGTTATTATTGTACTTGTAACACCGTTTATTATTTTCTTTAATTTTTTTATTGTACTTGTAACACCAATTAAATTGTTCGTGTATTTCATGTTGCCATTAAAATGTATGAACTGGTAAAGCACTTCAGAGAGCATAGAAATCCGCCACGAAAGCTCAATTCACATTATTTTTTATTTATCAATAAATAAATTAATTTGCCAATTTACAAGATAAATTCTCATTATAGTGGCCATTGATTAATGAATCACCAGCTAAATTTACCCCTTCTTTGGCCGATGTATCTCTTTTACTTTTGGAAATATAAAGGCTATAAAATTAGATAAGCGCATTTTATGGTAAAATTAAGGTAAAGTTAAAATCCACACGCTTTGATTCCCAATACAAAATTTTCTTTTTAAGTTCACTAGTAACAATGGGTGTATCTATTCTGGTTTTGGAGATGTAAATTGAAAAAGTGCCTTTCATCGTGGCAAGTAGCCTACGTCAAATGTCGGTGGTCATGGTCACATTAGGATTCTCAATGCACGGTTTCCTATCCAAGTTCAATATCAACTATGGACGCATCTCTTCTAGTTTTGGAGATATAAGGGCAAAAAATTGGAAAAGTGCATTTTATGGTGAAGTAAGGGCAAAGGTAAATTCAAGGTTCCCAATGTTATGATTTTCAATACTAGGGCAATATTAACCATAGATGCATTTGCAAAGTTCATTTCATGGTAAAAAGTAGGCCAAATGTCAAATTCAAGGTCACATTAGGATTTCCTATTCAAGTATTATAGTTCATATGAGTGCATTTCTGCTAATTGACGTTTAATTTTGAAAACGTTTCACCATTATGCATAGTGCCATTGTGCTTTTTGAAATAACTCAACTCCTAAACTCTGTGGAAAACAAACAAAGAGGCAACACTTCAATATTCAATAAATAAATATATAATGCTACAAACAAGAGTCTCCATCTGTTATGGCGCCAGATTTAGAAAGAGTTTCCTGTTTTCGCATCTACATGATGCTTCTCTGTGAAAATGGACCCATTCGCGTACTTGTAGATGAAAGGAGACCCCAAGTGTAAGTTCTCGCCATAATATAAAAGCATAAGTCTATGCAGTGTCTAAAATCCGCATAGTGGCTGATGTCGTCCGACACCTCCATTTACACATAGAGCTTAAATTTTTACAACATTTTGACACATTTGAGATTGAATATTGGCCAAAAGTCAATTGCAAGGTCAGATACGACTTCTGGACAGATGTTTGTAGTAAATTTCCCCATATTTCATTCGGTTTGGGGGATATTTCTCATTTTACGTTGCAAAATCTTGATAGACTAAGACAAGGGTGCATTGCAACGCTTGTCATAGTTACGCCTAGGCACCGACAGAGCTCAAAACCAAGGGGTTCAAGGTGAGATTATGTGTTCTAATTCCATAAGATGAAGACAGGTCCTAGTAAACAAAATTCGGTAAGTCTGCTCATGACTTTATGGTGGTAGAAGGTCGCTGGACAAGGGTCCCTTACGGGAATGGTACGTGCACATCCAGAGGTGTAAAGACTGTGGGACATGTTCTGTGTGACTGTCCTCTCACAGCGGGCTTGAGAGAGAAATCTATTAACTTGGATTTCAGATTAGTCAGCAAACAAATATATTAGCAATATGAGCAAATATGTTTATCTCCAAATTCTTTTTTGACTGCTTGACCTGTGGGAAAAACATGTTTTCTGTAAATCTTGTGCTTCTGCCCATTATTCAAGTGCTAATCAGTACTCACCAGCAGTTATATCATTGCCAAGACGCGACTCTTCCATGATCAGTATGTTCTCTTGGTTCCAACCAGTGTAGGGATTGCCTTCACTATAGCTATCGTAACATGTACCAACGTGAAGGGAAACCGTTACCAATCCTGCCGCAAGTCCTTTACATAATCCGTGTACTGAGGATAGAAATCATGGCCTATAAGGCTACAAAGCTTTAAAACAAAGTTAATCCCGTAATGATAAAAAGCATTTCCCTATTTGTCCAATATGATTTAATGCAAACATTTAAAGATCTATCAATGCATGTAATGTAGTTAGTCAACGCGGAGCGATTAAAATCAAACTTGCTACATGTACGTGTTCTAAATTTTACATATTCATGCTTTCTTCATTTAAACCTGCATTAACAGTCTCCCTCTGTTTCCAAAAATAGAATAAAGACAAATATAATTATAACCTACATGCATATCCCCTGTGAAACATGTTATCTCCTTGCACGTAGAAGGCCATATCGACAGTGCCTGGGTTTTGGCATTCTGCTCCATTAAACTTAAAGTACCATCGCGAACAGACGGGGCTTCCGGACACATACAAATTTCCAGAATAATGAACGACAAGTGCTGTATCACTGGCCCTCTTCCGGAATGTCTCGGTCTAGAAAATAGTTTAACAACTTATTACATCTTTAAGTATCTTGCTATGGCAGGTGTCTATATATAATCTGATAACTATCTCTCTGTGCAGTCACAGTCGCTGATGTCGTCCGACACCTCTATTCACCCAGAGAATAGGTTTCAGAAGCAACGACGTTGACCTAGCATTTAACTTTCTGACTGGTTATTGTTGTCTGTCTTCGAATTTCTCTGCGCAGCTTCAGTGTAAAAGAACGGTGAATTTTAAAAAGTTGTAGCATCGCGTTATCCGAAGAGAATTTTATAACGGTGTCCACGTTTAAGGCCTTCACAAAACCTTTGCGTTGTTCGGAACAAGCTTGATTGATTTATACGGTAGTAAAAGAACTTGAAAGCAGTGAAAACATTCCTCTCTTAAGCCTGGGTCACACTGATCTTGCAACCTTTTGGCAACCTCTTTGCAACCTCTGTCGCAAGGAGGTTGTCATAGGTTTTTAAGTGGTCGCATAAGGTTGCTGGCAGGTCGCCTGCGATCGTTGACACATGAAAGCCATTTTTTTGTGCATCGACAACCAGTGCGACTAAAGATGAAAAATATCGGTATCCTAAAAGTTGCCTATCGGTCTCTTCTTGGTTGTCAGAAGGTTGCTATAACCAGTAGCATACCATCTGCAACTGCACGGTCGGTTGACAGTATTTAGTCGACTGGTCTCTTACAAGTTTGTTACCAGTCGCAAGTAGTCAGCAGCAGGTCGCTAGAAGGTTGCAGTTGTTACTGCATGGTCGATTGACGGTCTTTATACCCCGGTCACACTAGAGGCAGAGTGAGCAAGAATGCCGTCGGAAAGACAATTCTTTGTGCATACCTGGATATTCAAAGAGCATTCTAAAAATTCCGAGTGCATTTCAAATATTTTTACCCATTATTGTGGTCGGCCCGAATGTTAAAAACTTTCGAAGTGCATTCAAAGTGGAATATTATTGAATGGCATTTGAATAGTATTCTAACTACACTATGACTGCATTTTAAATATTCTCACGGCATTCTGGCAACATTCGAAACATTCTGATCACATTCGAGAGATATTCGAACTGGCACGTGACTTAAGGCCCCCGTCTCACTTATCCGGAACCAGTAGGAATCAAGCAGAACCAGCCGGAATAAATTAATTGAAAATTCGTGCCATAATCGGGAGGGAATATTGCGAATGTTGTTAGAATGCAGTCAGAATATTCCGAATGAAATTCAAATGCCCTACGAGTGTGGTTTGACTGCTGGCCGAATACAGGCTGAAGTATGTAAGAAGGTGCCTCGAATGATATACGAAGCGAACTCAAATGCAGTCAAAATGCTCCCGGTAGGGCTGCCAATTATGGTTTGAATTACAAAGAATCCAAACAGATTGCAGCTGAAATACCTAAAATACTTAAAATTACTTTCTAACATGTTTAGAATGTAACAAAATGCCCAGAGTGTATAAATAACGCCACTGGAATGGTAACTGATCAGAATGTTTCGAACGCTGTCAGAATGCCGTGAGAATATTTAGAATGCAGTCATAGTGCAGTTAGAATACTGTTCAAATGCCATTCGATAATTTTCCACTTGGAATGCACTTCGAAAGTTTTTGACATGAGCAAAACATTCGAGCCGGCCACAAGAATGTGTAAAAGTATTTGGAATGCACTTGGAATTTTAAGAATGCTCTTCGAATATCCAGGAATGCACAAAGAATTGTATTTCCGACGCAATTCTTAATCATTCCGCCTCTAGTGTGACGGGGGTATAAAATCCCGCCAGAATGTTTCTAATGTGCTTCGGATGAGCTGAAATATTAATTTTGCTAGCAATCGAACTACACTATTACGCCATTCAAAGTATATTCTAAATATTCTTACTGCCTTCTGACAGCATTATAGATATTCCTAGTTTTCCAACTACATTCGAACTGCATTTGAGAACTAATACAGCCGAAAGTGCATTTATCATTCCAGGCGAATTCAAGCGCATTCTGAGTATGCCAACGGTACTCTTACAAGAATTAAGGTCAATTTGAACTTTTTTCCCGAATGTGGTGCGAATTTTTAAAATTCTTCATTCAGTCTCATTCTTCTTGTTTCCTGCTGATTCCGATTAAGTGTGACGGGGGTATTAGTCTCTTGGTCGCTAACAGGTTTTTTACGAGTTGTTGCAACCGGTGGCCGACCTTTTTGTAACTGGTGACAGTTGCAAGTCGCAAAGAGTTTTTTTGTTCAGTGTGACCGTAATCGCACAGGCCTTGCGACCTCAAAGAGACCAAGTATTTGAACAAGAAAATATTAAAGAGCATTATAAGATTATTAAGGATTAAAACGTATGCAAATTTATGTTTTTATTACAGCACTGGTTTCGTTAGATGAGAGTGTAGTCTTTTCAAAAGTTCACAAAACATTGCTGGTACTATTTTTAGGAAGGAAATGAAAACTTCCTGATTTTCAAGTCCAAGTTCTTTCATCAAATGTTTGTAATCGCCCTACAAGGGGCGTCTTGCAATCCACGGTCTCACCCAGTATTTCCGGCAAACAAGGCCAATGATCATAGCAGTCCCGTCTTTTTGAAAAGGAGCCGTCTTACTAGAACTTTTTTGTCTTTTGAGAGGGGAATTTATGAGAAAGTAGCTACTGTCACAAGTTGGAAACATATATTTTCTGTGCGACCTTGCTGCTACCAGTTGACAAGCGATTGCTACAGTCCTGCAACCGGTTTTCAATCACCAAATGGCTGCAGACAGGTTGTTTATCGCTCGGCAAACGGTGTGCGACTGGTAACCTATGGCTTGAAGATGGTCTATAAGAGGTTGCAGATACCATACTGCAACCTTGTTGCAACCGGTTTGCGACTGCTTGCCGATCCAAAATGGCCATAGCTTTTTAATTAGCTTGCAAAGTGATCGCAAACGACCGCCAGATTTTATGGTTGCAAAAAGGTTGCCAAAAGGTTGCAAGCGCAGTGTGACCCAGCCTTTTGGCAGCTGCTGTTGAGAATAAATTTCTTGTACGTTTTTTTTTTTTCACAATTTTAAACCTCATTCATCATTCGTCATTTACCTTGCCTATGTCAATGAGTCTGTTCCTTTAAATGTGTTTGTTTATGTATGTATGTATACGTGCTTTTTTTGATGAAAATTTTTACTATTTTAGTGAGATCCTCCATCTCACTTTACAGTTACTAGCCTGTGAGGTAAATTTAAAGAAATGTGATATTTACAGTATCTAAAATCAAAGTCCCAATCTATATTTAAAAATAATTTATTATACTCACAATATGAGCATTGTTATTTCTTGTGCTGGCGTAGTAATACTTGCTCAGATATTGTATGTTAAATATGGACAGCGAGGTACAGGCGCCTAAAACATAAATAATATGTTTACTGAAAATACATAGAATTTAATATAATATTAATTAAGTCTAATTAATGTGAATTATAATTACTGCTTTAACTTATTCATTCTACAAACAGTACCCCTGAAACAGTTTCTCTTACATTTACATGTACTTTGTCATAGATATTAAGGTAGTTTGGGGAGTCAGAAGTGTTTCACGGATGTCAGCTTACCATGAGTCGACATTGTTAAAAAACCTGGACCATACCCTCCCCCCCCCTCCCCCCCCACCTCACAAACAGTACGCAAACAAAGACTTCACAAAATCAAAACTTTTGGTATGGAATTCTCAAAGGAAGCTTTGCTTTCTCTTTTGTCTTATAAAATAGACTTTCCAATTCTTAGTGAGCGTAAAACAACTGATATTGACGACTGAAGAACGACTAGCAATCTAGTTCCAATAGCGTATTTCAGTCGGACAGTTAGTCCATTATACATTATAGAATAATAAAGAGAAAGTTTATTGCGGATTCTGTACTGATTAAGTTAGTCCATTATACATTATAGAATAATAAAGAGAAAGTTTATTGCGGATTCTGTACTGATTAAGAACGCTTATTAAAGCTAAGGTTATACTGACACTTACCAGAACCAACGCCGTATTCCACTTCGGCCACGGTTATCCTGCTTCTGGCGTTCCAGCCCACGTGATTCGTGCGAACATAATAGCACACAGCAGTCTCCAGAGAAATCGTCCGTACTCCAGCTTCTATGCCATGACAGATACCGAAAACTTGGAGACAAAATGCAAATGTTTTACACCAATGAGGTATCAAAACTACGTATTTTCAAGGTATGATGCAATGGCTGATGTTCGAACTGAAGAAAATGAAGGACCCATAAAGAGATAAAGTGTTAGTATAGTATAAACCAAGTGTTTAGTGTGTTAACCAAATTTTACCTTAACCAAGGAGTTGTTTCATACAGCTCCTTGCCTTAACTATGTGGTTATTCAGTCCTTATCTGGGTCATATTTGTTGGGAATGCCATTAGTATGTCCAGAAGAAAATGGGCGGGAATTTTATGAAAAATCGTGTTGAGATCTTCATGTATTTTAATACATTAAGATTAAAGCAATTCAAATATTTATTGTCATTGTTTCTATTAACGTTTCTATTATATTAAAATAAGCAGCCTTCAGAAAAATAAAACACTTTGGATTTTTGTGCCATGGCTATTTCCGAAAATGAATAACTGTTAGAATTTTAGAAAAAGACACTAAACATATCATTGCTAGAAAGTTACTGTGGTGAAGGCTTCAAATTATGCATATGTACACATGTGAAACAAAGTCTGTAGTAAGCGCTTCCGCAGGCCTTTAAAATAAAATAAAAAAAGGCGAAAAATTCATCGAATTTGACATATGTCTTTCAATTTTAATGCATTAGTCCTTTTACCATCAAGCCATTTGACCCTCGCACTTTCTTAAAAGGGTTGAGGCCGGTTGTCTTATCGCTTTATTATTAGACATGGAGTGAGACATAGGACATACTTTTTAAACGAAATTGCTGACTCCTTAAGTAGGACAAGGAAGATTAATGGGAATAAAAAAAATACTTACATTCGGCGTGTT